TGCCACAGCAAAAACAAAAAGCCAGGTAGGAAGCAGTAGGAATTGAATCATTGCACTCAATGTTTCTGCAAGCTCTTCCTTGGCCTTCAAGCATAGCAGCACTAGGAGTCAGTTTGACACTAGAAGACTTTGGGACAGATGCACTTCGTTAAGCATGCCATTTTGTTTTCTCATTTTAGTCTGTGAGGCCATAGAGGCAGCTGGAGCATGTCTTCCTTCTGTTGAACCTCCTCTTTCTTTCCAGCCCCTCTGCTCTTGAAGGCAGAGAGCACTGACTCCTGCAACTGCTTGCTCAGAGCTGTCAGCACATATAACCTGCTGCCCTTGGGCTTCCCAGCTGGGCTGACAGGACCTGGCCATGATCCAAGCAGGGCGATGTCTCCAGACCCTTTCTGTCTCCAACACAGGAGCAGTGAACTTTGTTCCAGTTTTTCCTGGCCTTCTCCCAAGCAGAGTCAGAAGTCATCTTTTTGAATTGTTTTCACATGAGGGGATTGAGTAGTTCCAAATGCATTTGAAAACAATGTTATAACCAATCATATTATAAAATATAAATGTATTAGATATGAAAAATGTGGTTTCTTGCTGCTAAGCCTGTGAAAAGAGCCCTTTGGTCTTTGCAAAGTGTAATGCTTATTCAAAAGTTTAAACTTAGCCATTGTGGCCCAAGCTGAAGGTATATTCTGACAACTTTGTCTTATGACTATATTTTCATAGACTTTCTCTTTCTGATGCTAATGGTGAATCTGTAGCTTCATTTGCAATTGTAAACATGAAGTCATGGGGAGCAAGGTGGGTGGGGCAACCTTACCCAGGATGGGACGGGTCCATGAACTTTGGTGAAAACTACCTTGGTGTCTATTTGTTATTGCCCCGAGGCAAAGTACCACCTTAATATCCATCTTCACTGGTGAGCCTGCATGTGAGAGAAAATCTGCAGGCCAAGAAACTCCTTGTACAAGTCAGACAGTCAATTTAGATAGCTGATTAACCAGTTAAGTACCTGACTGGAGTTGACTAATTAGTGGTTAGTGTTAAGGTTCTGTCAGATTAAATTGATCTCTAGTAAGCCTAAGGACAATTAAGAGCTTGCAATCACTGTGATAATTTTTCCCCTGCATTGTTGCAAGAACCTCAGTTAGAGGTAATGTGATAATTTAGGACTATTATGTAAGGCTGTCTCCTTGCCATAGGACAGTGCTTCAAGCACTGCTGTAAATTGGGGCAATGCTATTCCTAATGTCTGGTGAAATATGTGATTAAGTAATCATTGATTTTTGGGAGGGAAACTTTTGTGGCACTCTCGCTAGTTTCATATTGCCTGTCAATTCATTGCCCACTGAAGTGCAGATAGTTGCAGGCAGCCAAATGAACAGAAAACAAGAGCAGGGGTTAAAGGCAGTGACCAGCGTGAGAAATGTAAACAGAAGGCTCAGAGCTTATTTTCCAGGTTGTCTACAGCCCTGGCTTGGTGCTTGGTAAAACATAAATTTTCTTTTGTAGTAGTCTATGTCGATGCCACCTGAAGAGGAGATTAGCTATGCACATTTTGGGTGCTTCTGTGACACAAATATTCTGAGTCATGTTGCATATATCAAATATTTTGCTCAGAAGCAGGAAGGCATATGTCCACTCTGGATGTCATCTGAGAGATGCCTGGAAGGCATGTCTGGCAGGCTTATGCCATGATCATTTCAGATTGACATACTCACTGTAGCTTGTAATTGGCAAGAGACAGCATAAGGCCTTGTGGATTTTGATTTTCCCAAGAGGAATATTACTAATGAATTAAGATTGATTTTTTGCAATTAGAGTCATTGGAACGTCAGTCTTCTCTTTTTTTTTTTCTTTTTTTCCACCCTTTCAAATTACATTTGATCTTTATAGAGATATTTCTATATATCTTCAGAAAGATGATGAGTCAAATAGACTACCTCTATCTACTATTGCAAGGTATTTTTGATAAGACACCTGTCACATTTCCATGTTTGTTGCATCAGCTTATTGTTTACATCCCTACTTGTTTATTGCTCTTCTCAAAAAGCAAGGGTGAAGTGAGACTAATAGAACTATGCACACCAATACATATAGTTCAGTTGTTAAATCAAAATTTAAAAAGCGCTCACGAACTTTGTTTAGAAATCTTTTAACTGAAACCACATTTGACCTTATATTCAATTCAGACTGGAATGAAATCAGGAGGTTCAGATAACTCCTAGAAAAGCCAAAGAAATATAGACATGGTTTACAAACTGATAATATAGATCCATCCCCCTTGCTTTTATTGAGTACATCCATTACAGTTTAGCCCCCAGAAAATGAGAGTTTCAAGTTTGTTTTACTGTTTCTGAAGTCATCTGAAGTGGGAAAGGGTTTACTATGTTTAATTTTCTCTCTTTGGTTTATTCCACGTTTCAATTTTAGCAAATTGAGCATCCATTACAGCAGACTGCAATCCTGTTGCACATCTTCTGTGTGGGTACCTTAATCTGTAGGCTGGAGGGTTTTCCTCTCCTTCTGTTCCTAGAATTCAGCTTGTTGCAAGAGGAGAGTTTTAGGAAGAGGGCTAGAATCCCCACCCCACCTCTTGGGGTGACATTCCTCTTCAAATTCAGTGTCCACCTAAGTCAGGACAAGGATACACAGAGGTCTTCAGGCTGTAACAGCAAGTTTCACTGCAAGTGCTGTGAAATAGGCTGAATCTTCTGCTGTAGCTATTCCAGCTAGGAGTCAGGACACCTTCCTGATGATATGAACTGAAGGGTTGTCTCTTACTAACCTCTCATTGACTTGCAAAGCTCCTGAGCTCAGGTGTATCTTTCATGGGCTGGGGAGCCCTTCTGTTGGCCAAGCCACCAGCCCTGAGCACGCCCCTGGGCTGCCAGGCTGTGACCACTGACACAGCACAGAGGGAAAACTGAAGCAAATGCCCATCATGGGATCCCAGCTGCAGCCTGAGTAAGTGGCTTATCAAGGGGCAGGGGTCCATGGTTTCCAGAGACAGCCCCTGCAGAGTCATGCTGGGCCATCCAGTGAGGTGGATATTGATTAGCTCTATTTGAGTGACCACATTTATCCAGCTCTTTCTCCTAATTCACCTGACTGTTCAGAAAGGACAGATAGTTTTCCCGCAGTGCACCTGCACAAAATTGAAAAGGATCACTTATTTCGCTCTAGTGCAAAGATAAGCAGGTTATGCCCTCCTGAAATGTTAGTTTTGAAATAGTTGAGTATGCTTGAGTGGATATAAAAATCTTAATGCCTTTTCACAGAGTAACTAATCTCACTCAGGTTGGGCTTTCTTAGGAGAAACAAACTCAGGTTAAGTGTCTATGAGTTATTTCTGCAGTGACTATGTGATTTTTAAAGTATCTTTCATTACACAGGGAACAATAAATAATATTCTTTAACTAGAATGGAACAGAAGTCAATGCTGCTTTTGAACACTGGGTACTGGCTCAAAACTGTTTATCCAGTTTCTGGGAACTAAACAAATGTTCGAGCTGAAGTCACTGAGAAGAGTTAGCTGAAATCCATTTCAGCTCCTTTAGCACAAAGCACACTGGAGGAAACATTGCCTTGCCAGTTCACTAATGCTTCTCTTGCTTGAGGTACTGTGTTGGATTCAAAGCTATGCAGCTCCTCCCCAAACCCAAGGCACACATGAAATTAAGAAATGACAGGAAAAAGTCACGTCACAATAATTACTGTGATGTGGTCTGCTATTCCCTTTATTTCTTGCTCTGTATTTGAGGCTCAATGTTAATTTACTTGTATAACTCAAGGTGTTTCCTCTGCTTGTTTGTACTAGCTATGATTTCTAAACATCCTTGAAATTATTGGCCGTAACATTTCTCCACATCATGATATTACTTCAACTTGAGCCACTTATAGAAAGTGCTTCTTTCTGCTTTTGAACAGAAATGGCTGGGAGCCAGAAAAATATCTATTTGTTTGCCTTTCTATTTTTGTTTTGAAATTGCTGGAAGCCAGTGGGTGGGTTTTTATTTTCTTTTTTAAGATTTTATTTTCAAACTAAGACAAATATTATGTATGAGGAGCGGCACATATCTTAAATAACTGGTTCTAGTAACAGGAAAATGTTCTTGTTAGAAATACTTCTGAAGTGTGGCTCTATTTCTGGAAATCCTTTCTTGCCTGCTTCAGCAGAGTTTTGTATCCTCTCCCATTTTCCTCCATGGTCCTTTCACATGCAGAAGGGTGAGTTCTATAGGTGTGTTTTCATTTGTCTTGTACACTGCACGGATTCAGCATCTGTGCATTCTACCAACCAAAGGAAAATCACGCAGGGAGCTGACAGTACTTGTGTTAACCAAATGAAATCATCTGCCACCTAAATGGATACCTACTAACCTGGAGTGTCTTTGGAAAACAGAATCCAGTGTCTGCTGTTGGGCTGCACAGATTTTGGTCCCCAGAAAGGAAAATTTCAATCCATTATAAAATGAGTAGTCCAGTATGAGGGCTCATCCCATTCAGGAGAACCGGGAGGTTACTGAACTTATATTCCCAGAAAATATTGTGAATTACTTAACCAAAGCAGGAATCCAAATCCTATAGATTTATTTCAGACTAAAGACCAAAACAAGCAAAAATTCCACTCCCAATTTTATTTATTTATTGTCTCTTGCATTTCCTTTTAAAATCCCAAAAACCTCCAATTCCACCCAATTCCAAAACCATCACAACCAAGCAAAAAGCAACCCTCTGGCCACATCCATGAGCTTTGTTCTGTTTATTTCATAAAAAATAAGCTTGGGTAGTTTTGAGTTAATATTACTTACTGCTTGTTGATTTCTAAATAAATAAAATCATAGGATTGTCTTTGGAATTTTTTTTTTTTAGGAGTTGGAAGAAATTAGAGGGTAGAGTTAGAAGGACAAAATGTTTTAAAGCATTTTTTTATTCTAGTGCCAAAATTTATGTTGTATGAAAATATAATACAGAGCTTAAGTAAGCAAAATTTTCTCTTTTAACAGCTTTCCCATTGAACTTTGAAACCATTCATGGAAGCTGATGGCAATATTCTTGTAAGTATAATTAAAGTTAGGCCAGAGTTATTGATCCTCTGAAGAGGTCATATGTTGGGATTATATCCTTGTAGTCACAAAGACCACGAACAGTGTAAAAGAATAGCACATGTGAACGGCATCAGTATCCAAACAAGATCTTTCTTATGGGCCAATCCAAGTGGAGAGGTTGCCCCACTTCTGCTATAAGGATAAGACAAAATCTACTGCACGTGCCTGATGCTAGGGGTGCCCTCACTTCTAAATCCTCAGTGGACAAGATAACTGTAACCTAAGACATGTGAGTTTAGCAAAGGATTTCTTAGCCACATAGTCTAACCCTTGGGAAGTTTAATGAAAATAGAGCTCTGTAGAATATAGCTGTTGATCATAGCTGCCTTTGGTGCCTTCTTAGACTCATGCATTTTGAGTAGAATTTCATGAGACATAAAGTCTGTTTTTTAGTGTTAGCCCAATGCCCCTGTCTTTTTATCTTTTTTCTTTCCCCTGAAACAGCCTCATATACATATTTCATCCCATATTTATTCCTGGGGAGTTTACCTCTGACCCAAGAGTCCTGGAGCCTTTGATGCAGCTCCTTCTGAAGAGGAAGGGTCAAGAGTCCTTTAACTGGTGTTTGGGAGGTACCTACCCTGAGAGCAGCCAACAGAGCCTTTGGTTTGTGCAGCAGGCTGTGAGGGAGTGAAACTGTGGGGCTGTAACAACCTTTTACACCATGGCAACAGGGCAGTTTCCCCAGAAGGTGTAGAAACAGCTGTCCCTGCTAGGACAGAGGTTTCCACACAGAGTGGCTGCAGCCCTCCAAGACCCAGACTCCAGGGGTGTCAGGAACCTCTCCCTGAGGCCAAGGGTGGTGTCTCTTAGCCCTGCAGAGCATCTTGGAGGAGCTGTATTGGCAAGGGGATGAGGTTCAGGAGGAAGTGTTCAAACTGTGCAGCATCAGAGAAAGTGGAAGGGAGGGAGATAGGGTCTTCTCTGAGACACAACAGTGTGAAGACCATCAGTCCCCAGCTGCCATGGAGAAGCAGGCAGTGTCTATGCCCACTGTCAAAGTAAGCAAAACCTCCAGAGAATTGGAAGGATGGAAGTTGATGACTTCTTGTATCAAGAGGAAGCTCCTGCCCCATCTAAGAACTGGTTGACTGCCCTCAAAATTGAAGAGGAGCCAGATGTGTCCCCTAGCAAAGGACGTGGTTCACTTAACTGTAAAACATGCAGGTCTACCAGGGAGAAATGGTGAGACCCTGCAGTGTGTGACCCTGCTGCGAGGAACAAAGGAGCCATCTGTAGCCTGACCAACCATCTAGAGATGTTTGCTGCCTGGGAGGGACCAGGATCCAGGATGTTGTGCAGAGACTGCCAAAGCCTGTCCAGCTCTCTGACTCTATCCCCTGTTGTTATCCCATTTGAGCACAAATGTTACTGCTAGGGGAAACCAGTATATTCTGGGGGCCATAGAGCTGGAAAGCAGCTTTGCAGAGAAGGACCTGGGAATCTTGGTGGACATCATGAGCCAACAACGTGCCCATGCTGCAAAGAAGGTAAATGGTATCTTTGGCTACATTAGACAAAGTATTGCCAGCAGGTCAAGGGTGGTCATAATTTATTCAGTGCTGCTGAGGCCACTCCTGGAATAACTTCTCAACAGACAAGACACATGATGTATTGAAGAGACCCAATGAGGGGCCAGAAGAATAATTATGGAACTGTAGCACTTAAGATATGAGGAAAGACTAAGTGAACTGGGACTGCTTAGTTTGGAAAAGAGGCTCTTACCCATGTGCATATATAGCTGAAGGGAGGATGCAAAGAAGAGGACAGGGTGGTGGTGCTAAGTTGATAGTTGGATTTGATGATTTTAAAGGTCTTTTCCAACCTTAACGATTCTATGATTCTTTTCAGTGATTCCCAATGACAGGACTAGAAATGATGCACACAAACTAAAGCACAGGAGAACCTGGTTCCCTCTGAACATCAGGCAGCCTTTTTTACTGTGAGGATGACTGGGCACTGTCACAGGTTGCCCAGAGTGGGGTGCCTCTATGCTTGCTGAAACGCAAAAGCCATCTGGAAATGGTTCTGGAAAACCAGATGGGGAGTGGACTTAGACGACCTCCTGAAGTCCCTTCAGTCTTAATTGTGCTGTGATTCTGTGGAAAAATAGGACATCTAAACTGACAAAAGCCTCTGCTGAAGTTGTCACTTCTCTTATATATTTTTGCTCATCGTTGGAGCCTGCCTGGCAGAAGTGGCTATGAACAATGCACAGTTGAACAGGTTCCTTTGCAACTCACTCATGGTGTGTTTGCCAAATGGAGGAGCAATAGATAGCAAGTTTGAAGTCTGTGGTTTTTTGCAGAATCACTATCCCATCCTGTTCAGTCCTTAGCAAACCAAAGCCTACCAAAATAATTAAAATCTACTCTCTTTTACAAGTCTTGCACAAAAGTGTATGTTTTGCAGTTATGTCAGAGCTTTCTGAGAACTATTGCTCTCAGATTTCCCTTAGTAAGAAGAAATAGAAATACATCTGATGTTCTTGGTTCATTTTTCAGTTGAACCTGTGATAATGAAATAAATCACTTAGTATTAGGAAATTGAAAATTATAGAAAAATACCCACCATTGTTAAAAGCAAAATCATGACATTTGGTTTAGTTTCAGATTTTTCCAGTGGCTATGTCTGCTAGTTACAGTACGTTCACATCTGAAACTGCTGTTATGCCTCTGGTTTTATTAGTAACAACTCTGCCTCCCACAGTTTTCTTTGTTCTGCACTGGTAAGAATCTCTAGAAGAGTGAAACTTAAACATATCTCTTAATCAATGTTCATCCAGGTCCACTGACATAAAAGATTATTGACTTTTTTATAAACAATTTTCAATGAAGGAAACTTTAATTACTTCTTGAAAAAAGGTTTGCCACTGGAGACTTGCTAATGTGTTATATTTGCATGGAAAATTGAATCCAAACTGTACTGGTAAGGTATTTTATGAATTTTGTGGTAGATTCATTTAAATATAGGTTTTCTATTGGTTTGAGATGAAAACAGTTTTACTGAAAACTGTTTGTTTATTTCATAAAGTATCTATCTGACTCCAAACACTGTGCTTTGGAGAAAGAGGTTGTTTTTATTTGTTTATAGATCAACAAAATTTGAGAAGGTAATTTTGTGAATCATGCCAGATTTTATTGCTGCAGTTGGGGATAAGATGTTTCTCTTGTGTGGAGCAGAACACATATTTTTTATAAGATGAAACTGGGTTTCTGAATAGCACTAAAACAACCAGAAGTTACAGGATTCCAGACTTAGTACTAATTTGTTGAAAATTTACCTCAATTTTCAGGAATACTTGGAAAAATAAAGAGAAACTTATCTTAATTTAAAAAAAAACATTCAGCAGTTATTTTGTTAGAGATTTACCACGGATTTTATCCAGGCAAATTAAATGCAGTTCTAGCTGGAGAAACTACTCTTCCTTCCACCATTAATTTCCCAACTCCTCCCACAATATATGAAGAAAAGAGGGTTGGTTCATCACCCCTATCAGCTTGCAGCAGGATACCCTCATTGCCTCAGAATAATACATTTCTAAATTTTTTTAGCTAGCCCAAGCTCTTAATAAGTGATCAGTTTTTGCCTCAGTCTGATATAAAGTGGGCCCCAACAGATGACTTACATAACATGGGTATTAACTCTTTTTTGACAGATGAGCAATAGACCATGTTATTTTTCTTTAAATCATCAACAAGGTTAGTGGAAAGATTGCTTCCTCCTCAGCTGTGTAGAGAGAGCCACATCCTGTCTCAGTATTGCTCTTCTTTTTTATGACTATATTGGTTAGAGATGAAATGATCCCAATATAGCACCATGGCAAAGATGTGATGTTGCTTTACTGCATAGTTTTTGGGCCAGGAGACCTGTTTCATATTTGTTTTTCTTAATACCATTTTGGATAACTCTGAAGGAAAGTAATTAGTTTGTGTGACCCACTGATTCCCTGAGGCCATATACAATTTCCATGTGTCCTAAATAGGGCGTAAGTTTCTTTGGAATGAAGACACGAAGGGTGGCCTATAAAGGATGGGGAAATAGCAGCATCTCTAACAGAGGTGATGTGTTTTCTTATTGCTTTTCTTTGTGTGTTGTCATGGAGAATAGTCTGAGAGAGAGAGAGATAATGGCAGTGGAAGAATTAAAAAAATAAGGGAAAAAGGAAAAAAGAATGTTCAGTGATTAAGCAGGAGTCTGGGATTATTCATGCTTGGCAAAGCACTCCCACAAGAGTGTTGTTCAGGTCATGTCAAACAGGCACCAGATAAGCACAGGACTGTGATACATGGCTCTGTGCTCTGTGGTACACGCTGCAGAGATCCCTGCTTCAGAAAGTTGTGGCTCTTGTAAGTACTGGTGACAGTGGTCTCTTCTATCATTGTTTGCAGACAGTCTAGCTTTACTCACCTTTAATTTGCCTGTGACAGGAGCCATCAGATTCTTCGAGAGTGATGTGAAGTGGGGTTTTGTTTTGCTGAGGAGCTGTCTGGCGAGGCGGAGGGGTTACATTAGGGATGTTCATAGCGTAGCTCTGCAGCGGATCAGGTAGCTGCCGCCTTTGCATAGCAACGTTGTGGCCAGCATATTAAATCATACGTCACTTTATCCAGCATTTGTCATCCGGAGGCTTCAAACCCTTCCCAAAAATAGAAAAAAGTGAAAGCTTTAGTTCCCACACTAGAGAAGGAAAGGTTGAGGCAAAGACAAGTACTTTGTCCACAATCACACAACCAACCAGCCTATCTGGGGAGAATTTGCTCCAAAAGACATACCTTCCATTTTCAAATACCTCCTTTTTTCTTCTGTGGTCTTCTCTTTTAGTTTCATTTTCTATGTGTTTATGCAGAATTAAACATGTAGACGGCAAATGCATAAATAAATTCAATTGTATTATTTTTGCAGTGATTAAAATTTCCGTGTATTTTGTGTGATCTTTTTTCTTAAGAAATATTATGAAACTATTTCATAGGGAAAAAAAATGTTCTGCATTAAAAAAAAAAGGCAAAGGTGAAGATCCATTTTTTTCTTTTTCGAGATTTCTTAGAATGAGCTAAATGACTATCAGTGATCTGGCATGTTTTTAATCTGCCTGTGTTTGTAAATCCTCCTTGTGGAACCTAATGAAGCATTAAAATGCTGGAGTTTTAACTTCTATTTTTCAACTTCAAAACACAGAACACGATTCAGGCAAACACAGTGAAGTAGAAGCTGTCTGTGGATGTGAAACAGGAAGCAGTAGTAGATAGACACATGTGTAATAGGGTAGTGTTTGCTCTTGCTCAACTAGATATACATCAATTTTAATTAACACGTTTTTTGCTTCAGCTGCTAACGTCCCTTCAGCAGTGAGTGGGTTATGTGTTTCCATTCTGCATATACCACCAGCATCACCACCACGTCCTTCTCGAGCTTCCCCCTCCCCTTTCTACACAAATGTTGCAACACAATCTGAAATTTCCTCTTTTCTTTCCTTCCTGCATTTCTTACAGGTTCCTTTGCGTCAGAAGGCAAAAAAGAAAAGTCAAGGTAATGAGAGATTGTTTTTTCTTTTCTCTCCTGGATTCCTCTTTTGTTATTTTCTTAGTATGTCTTATTCTTGGGAGGGTGAGGATTTTGTACTGCTACTCATCTGGTGAAAAGCTGCTCCACTGATTCTTACACCGATTTTGAGAAAAATGACAACGGGTTGTTCCTTTGGACTAAATCCTTGTGGTATGTTAATTGAATCAAAGCTGGAAATCAGTGAGGTAGAATCAGCTGCCTGCACAGATATACACACTAGTGGTTTTCATGTACTTGGCATAATAGTTTTCTCTAGCTGACTTAAATAGATGTATTCTTTTCAGTGCAGCTGTGTGAGGGAAAATATATGCATGTTTCTCTTAAAAGGATCAAAGGCTGTATTTTTAATTTACAAAAACTCGTGTATGGTTATCTTAGCATTAGTTAGTATCTGCATTATCTATACCTTACTGTTTTATTTCTAAATATCAGCAAGCTTTTCAAATGAACGTGTGTTACTGTCACAGCCATTATAAAACTGAATGACTTCTAAGTATATTTTAAGATATGCTTGGATGACTTGCTGAGATTCCTAAGTAAGGATGATATCCTTAATTGGCAGCAACATCTTTCCTGGTAATGCAGTTTTAAGCAAGCACAACACTGTATTTTTAATGGCACAGGGTTCTTTATAATGAGCCGACGGAGGATATCCTGCAAAGAGCTGGGGCAAGCTGATTGCCAAGGATGGCTCTACAAAAAGAAGGAAAAAGGAGCTTTCATTGGCAACAAATGGAAAAAGTTCTGGTGTGTGCTAAAGGAGTCATCGCTGTATTGGTACAGCAGTCAGCTGGTGAGTACAGCATACAGCCAGCTCCGGGTGCCAGACAAAGTGTCTGTCTGCTGGGACTGAGAGGAGGGAAGCTGGGGTCACAATTTAGGTGCATCCCGGAGGAGTACAAATATCTGGGTTTATTTATCAGCCCTGACACTTTTTGTGATCTGGGAAGTGTCTATATGAATTTGAAATGTGCAGAAAACTATGTGTTTTCTAGTTCAGCAGGTACTTGTGAAATGTTAACTTGCAGCCTGTTTTGCCCCGAAAAGAGCTATTCTTTAAAGGCTCTGGTGGCATTTGAATTTGAGAAATGTTTTCCTGGGTATAGGCAATTTGCAAACACTTGTTGTCAAGACAGGAATGCTTCTGCACTTCTTATCAATTTAATTTTCAGAAATGTCTCTCCTGTTTCTCTTTCTATCCCCTTCCACACTGAGATTATTCTGTCTGTCTGCTTGGTTTCTTTTTCTTTTTTTATTCTATTTTTTTCCTCTTTATTTTTTTCCCCTTTATTTTTTTTTCCTTTTTTTCCTTCTTTCTTTTACTTTTTGTCCTCCTTCCTTTTATTATTTTTTTTTTCTTTTCAAATGGTGGAGTGCAGCTGGCTTTACTCTGGGCTTGTCTGATTGGGCAGAGATGGTGTCTTGTCCATCCTAGGAAGATTCAGATATAGTTATTCCCTTCACTTTGCTGTCTGGAACTGCTACCACTAAAAAGCTCTTATCACATTCAAATGATGGAGTGACAGGTAAGAATTAGAGGTTGAAGAGAATTAGGATATGCCAGCAAAACATAGGTTGAAACTCAGCAGCTTCAGTGTCTAACTGTGGATGGACATGAGGTTCACTAAATGAAAAGTAGCTGCTTTGGAAATCAGCATGTCGCAGGCACAGCAAAGGATGAAAGATTAAAGGAACCCTTATTAATTCTTAGAGCATTAAAAAAAACACAAATCAAAGGCAATCTGGATGATTTCCACTTGTTTATTTCCATTGCAGTAATCCCCATCAAAAATTTTGCTAACTGCTTCAGGGAAAAAAAATAAAATAGTTTAAGCCATTAAGAAAATCTTCATACCCTAAACAAAGCTTTACTCATGTAGACTATTTCACATTATCCCTTCAGCTGTGGGCATAGTGTTAGTGGTTTTTTGTGGAGTTTTTGTTTGCTTGTATGTGTGNACTGCCTCAGGTCAGTGTTGTATTTGAAGAGAAATCAAAGTAGTTAATCACTTCTTAGAACATGATTTTACATATTTTATATTTTTGTTTGCTTTTTATAAATCCAAATAAAAACTTTGACTGGTACTTCAAGATAATATTAACTATTTCATTTAGGGCTAAAGGAAAGAAACTCTGCTGGTCCTGGGCTGTTGTTTTTTATGATGTTGTGGTAGTCTGATTTAGATTCCTTTCAAGACCATGTCAATGGTCTTCAGAAAGAAAAGAAATAGAAAAATTGGGGGAAAAAGGTTTTAAAAGGGTACTTTTTTCCTAATGCTTACAATATCTCTGCTTGAAAGACACGGTGAGGCAGTAATACTAATAAGCAGCATTAATACCTTGCAAAACCTTATTAATATTGGCTTTTTTAAATCTGTGCTTGCAGTTGTACTTCTAGGCAAGCAGTTTTAAGAAAGGTGAGCTGGCAGGCTGGCATGTCTTTTTAGACACAGAAAATATCAGAAAGGAATAATCTTGAGGAATAATCAAGATGGGAGGAAATAAAAAAGGCAAGGCTAGGAAAAATTTGCCTCTGGGAAGAGAGGAGTGATGGGGGAGAGGTGCAAATTCATCCACTTCCTTCAGTTGTTCTGGCCTGATTAAATTCCACTCCTGAGATCCAAAGAAACCATAATCATGCAGGTTCCAGTGCTCCTAGACAGCACTCAACCTTTTAGTCCATGCCTACTTCCTGACTGTCACTGACTGCCCCAAATGAATAAGGCTGAAAAATAAGTGTCAGCCTCATTCCAATTTATTTTATTTCCTCTGAAGAGCTCATATGGCTTCAAAATACTTGTGTCGTGTGTCAGCCCTGAGCTCTCACCTATCACAGCTGTGCCTTAAGCATGCTAACCTGTAGCACCCCTTTGCTTTCAACTTCTGCCAACTCTTACACACTGTTTTATGTTAAAAACTGAAGGTTTCTTGGGACAGCTAAAAGGGCAGCCTCTATGTAACTATAGGTTCAATCAGTGTTTGCAGAATGTCAGTAAGTGTTGGTTTGGAATGGAGAGGAGGTGTTCTTTGCTAAGGCCTTCTTTCTTAAATTCTTGAGACCAGAGGCATGCTCAGAGTTGTACACGAGATCAATTAGACTCAGATAATGTCACTTCTAAATTGATGAAGGAGAAATAGCAGTGACAAATTCACCTGCTTGCTTGACAAGTCTCTGGTCTAGCATTAGGACTGCCTACACTTCACTGTCTTCAGTAAAGTTAATCCTTGGTCCCAAGGGGGTGTACAAGATGACAGCCTAAAGTTCTGTTGAAACAGGAGTCCTGCTTCTCACGTCCTGAGGTTTCCTGTGACTGGCCCTTTTACGGAGGCTGATGCCAAAGGTGGTGGTGAAAGAGTGGGGCTGGCGTCAGAGGGACTGGGACACACTGGTTGCTTGTTGCTCTGCTTGACCAGGTTGGTTCTGGCGAGAAACGAGCGTGGTTTGCTTATGGCTGTGTGAAAACCAGACACTGGCAACTGTAGCATAGCAACGGGGTGCTGGACCTTTTTTCTAATGGAGATGGAGAAAATAGAGAGTGGGTGGAATTTGTATGGGAGCATGCATTATCCTGGATTTGGGTAGATAACCTCATCTGAATATCATCTTCTTGGTCAAATTTGTGCCTCTGAAGCTCTGGATGTTTCTGTCACTGGTTTAATTTTTCTTCAAGTCACTCTGGTTCTGGGTCTCTCATGAGAAGTAGATTTGGGTACATGATATAGCATGCTTGTTGTGGCATTTGCAGCTGATATTTCCTTCAATTCAGCATAAAATATTTTGTGAATGCCAGAGCTCAAAAGAGTAAAAATAATAAACAAGTCAGCAATAGCAGATCAGACACACCAAGAGTGAATCTTCTACTTCACTGAAAGAAAGCTAGAGAACACAGGCAAATCTGAATAAATTTTCAATGACCTAGCTGAGGTCAGGGCCCAGTGGTCTCAGCAGGCTTTGGTAGGCTGTGCTGGAAGCTCTTCCCACACACCCTTATTTCTATAAAACGTGAGGCAAATACGCTTATCTTTGCAGCATGGAAGCACTCCCAATCTGTGGAGGGGAAGCTGTTGGACTAAGAGGAAGCGCAGAAGGATTGGTTTTGCAATGAAAACACAGGAAATGTCAGAAAAGATATCTGGGCAGTCAGACTTTCTGGGTGCATTCAAGATCACCAGACTGCTTGGACAATTGTTCTGTATTAGTGTTAATTTGTTGTTGTTGTTGTTGTTGTTATTTTAGTACTGCTCTCTGTAGGCAGCTGCCTTGAAGACAAGTGTGTAAATAGTACAGTTTGTGATCCTGCCTGATCCTTTAGCCCTTTAGACATTTCAATTCTCATTCTGAAACCCCAGGGGGAATTAGTACTCCTACATAGGAAGAGGGGTGGTGGGGGAGGATTGTCACATGTAATCCCAGTCTCTTGGCTCTTTGTTCTTGTTTCGACTGTGTTGGATAGTGTTGGCTGGAACAGGACAAAGGACTAAATGCCTCTGTCTGGTGGGTCTTTAGGGTAGCTTGGCTGGTTTTCCAAACAGAGTTGAAATAGATTTTTGCAGACTGTGTTAACAGTGGTTGTCATGGGGATTCAGCTGAAAAGAAATATAAATATAAAATTAAAGACTAGCAGGCTGTGATCTACTGTCACTATTTATCTTTGTATTTTTTTTTTCTTCTCATTCACTGCATTTAAATTGGTCCTCACTCCAACAGCTTCGCAGGAAGCTGTATAATTACGGTCTTTTAAAAGAAAAATCTTTTACCTTTGAGTTGTAATAGCTGCTTATGTGGATGAGAAGAAGTCATTGTTGGTACCTGATTGAGCTGAGAGGCTTGGGGACCTATGGCCCAATGTCTTACACAAATTACTCACAGTTCTATAGGATGCCTCATTGGTGTACTTGGCAGAGAGAAAAAAGTCTAAAATTCTGAACTGCTCCTCCAGCATCCATAGGGTCTTCTGGGGGCAGTGCTGAAACACTGATGAAGCCATGAGGACTACCCTGATTTGCAGACTGGAGCTGTTCCACAATAACAAGATATTTCATTTTTCTAGCACTATTTTTTTAAAATCTTGCTGCAACATTACACTCACTTTAAATGACTTACTAAATCTCCTAAAGCCACAACATTTAGATAACATATTGAGGCAAGCTCAAAAGGACATTAGCTTCTTTTATTGGATTAATGCATTGAGTTTCATAAATAATTTCCTTTTTTTGGGTGCAAAGCTTTTTCTGTGAAAAAATGGCTACTTTCTTTTTTTGCCACAGGAATTTGTTGTTATTAATGAAATTATTTTTCTACAACTTGGAATAGCAAAAGCACAGATTTATGTTAGGCTAACCTCCATAAAACCCACAAGATATAAGAGCTTATTCTTTTCAACATCCTGATTATGTAGAAAACAGGTCAAGGTTCTTTGTATCTGAGATTTTTGGGCTATTTTACAGCTAAATCAGATAAAAATCTGAAGGAATCTTGAATGAAATGTGTGAATGAATTAAATAATAACATGCTAAAGTCATGTTAGAGATAACATTTTGGAAGAAAGAAAGCTCTTAGGATTTCTGTATGCTTTAAATGTTTTAAAATGTCATTTTTATCCCAAGTATGACTGAAAAGATGACTTCCACATGTTATTTGGAATTCTATTTGCTGACTGAAATAACACCCTTAAGATTTTAAGTGACTTCTTTTCCTTTTTTCCTTTTTTCCCCCCTGATAATTATGAAGTTACATACTCATCAAACCCCTCTTTTCTGTTACATAGATGGCACATTTTAGATGGTACAAATGGTGTATTTCATTCATACATAAAATGAAACATAAATTTTCCTTTTAATGAACAAATATGAAATCACAGACAGAATTAGTATAAAATCTGAATGCACTGAGAGAGAAAGTGTATGTGAGAACATAATCTTTTTCCAACTGGAACAGCCCAACTATTGCATGAGAAGTTGGGGGCTTCTCTGTTGTACAACTGTTGAAATTAAAGTACTGAAATCAAAACCTGCAGACCTATATTTATTAGTAATTCAGAGGGTGCTTCCCTAATTTACATAGAGGAATCTATCTAAATTATGAATGGATTAAGTCAGTGGTTCAAGTCCAAGTTCCGTTTCTGAATGAGTGGGAGTATTCCAGGTGAGTGTCTCCACACTGGCTTATGGGGTGCTGGTGATTCATTAGTCCAGTGCAAAACCCAAACACTCAAATACTTTTATACATTGACAGTAGAGACAGTGAGTTATCTAATGGCATTTCATGGGCTTAATCCCCTCAGTAGTGCTTTTGTATCTCTCTAGTCTGGTTGTAGGTTGCAGTCTAGACCAATGGTTACTGCACTGATAGAACTGGCTGAGCTGTAACTGCATTTGAAACACGGAAGAAAGGCCAAACATGTCCCAGACCTGAGCCACCCACTCACCCACTTGATGGCTTACCCAGCTCAGGCCATGGACTTATTGCTGCATGGGTACCTGGGTACATTCCTTCACCCAGGGTCTAGTGGATAACTTTTTCTTAAACTGGGAATATTGATTCATATTGCAGAGAAGCAACTGGCATTTCTCATCCAGCAATGTATTCAATAGTTATTGTTGTACCTCATGGACAGCTTTTTTGAGATTAGTCTCTGGTATTCTCAGACTGGTCTTGGGAACTAAACAGGAATTTCAGTGTTCCAGATCCAGTAAGTGATCATCTTTGTGGAACAGAAATGCTGGATAATACAATCTCTGCCTTTAGTACAGTGCAGCCCAAGAACAATGCTACTTCATTACTCACCAATATTTATTTGCTCATCCCTATATACTTAATATGCTATGGATCAGGGATGGTAATACTAGGTTTAGTTATTGTTTTTTTACCTCAATGACTCTAGTCTCATGAAATTCCAACCTGTGGAATGGAAACAAAAGCTCCCCAAGCTAATCACTAAACAAGTTTTACAGATACAAATACAATCAGAGAGTGTTAAAACCCCACAGTAGCAAATAAGCACTTTTCCATACAAATACTACAAAATGAAAATTTTTCAGCCCAGATGTAAAAAAAATCTTTTTTTCTCCTATACTGAAAGAAAATAAGAAAAACCCATTCCACTGATGCTGCGTGTCTGTCTGTGTGTGTCTTGGAGCAGCAAAATCTTTTACTGGTGATGATGTAAAATAGAAACTTCTCACATGAATGTTTAATACATGTAGATGACAGGAGTGACGGTTAGGCCATGATTTATTTTATACCAAAGAACAGATATGTAGATGTGAGGGGAAGCCACCCACTGAAGTATCCATTCTGTATCCATATTTCATTTCTTGGAGATTCATACTTCCAAGCATTAAAGCTCAAAGACTTGTCTTGAGGAGCATCTTTTCACAGTCTCGTCATATTCATGCATAATGAGACTTGAAATACTGTCAGTCGTCTTCATTTATGTTCTGCCTTTGTAATTGCTGTGTGTATTTTACCTGCTTTAACTCAGTATACATTTTCAGAATTTTAATGTACAGAATCTATGAACAATGGCTAGGAGCAGCAAAAATTTAATTCTGGAATGAGCACTCTAAGTGTTTTGGAAAGTACATTTTTTCCTGACATTATGTCCTGCAGATTTTTGTCTACATTATATATTGCTCTTCTTACGAGGACTCCTAATCTTATTATAGATGACCAGGTGTATGTAGAAAGATGTAGTGAGGAAGATGTTTCTGCTTCAGATGTTTCAGTTTCAGGCAGCAAAAACAGGGATTTGAAGCTTGTCACTTCAGTTTTGCTGGAGCAACGCTCTGACTCAGAGTCCTGCTGACTGTGAACAGAGACGTCAATGCTCACTAAACCTCCTTGCATGCAGAAAAGGCTGACTGGATATAAACAGGCTACTGTAAATGTAAATGTCTGCCTGGATTTTGCTACCTCTTGTACCATGCCTGCAAATTTCTGGGGGGAGTGATAGCTGGGTGACCAAAGTCCTCTGCAGGTTTGCAGTGTTTAACCACAGAGCTCAGCTGCGTGGGATGTGAGCAGCCTTCATTACCTCTGCCTCGCTTGTGTACAGGTGACCCTGCAAAATGGTCCATGCTGCAATTACACTGGGGACACCCTCCTCCATTTCTACTTAGAATCATCTTGGGGGCACTTCTAAATTGTATTTTTCAGCTATTCATAGGTCATTTTATGTGCTGCTGTTACATGGCTATGTAAGATACACACATGCTGTATCACGGCACAAACCCGCCTTTGAACGTATAGGTGCCGTCCAGACCTGAACAGATGATATAACCCTTGTTCATTCTTATTAGTCAACAAAATCTATGCTTACACTCTGTCACTGGCACCAACAGGAGTGGTGGCTTTCCAGCACCCTGGATTTGCACAAATATAGCTGGTATAGAAATATTTCATCAGGCGTTAATCTGTCCCCATGGTGATGAGCATATATTTCCACAGTATAAAAAGCTGTCCAAAACAAGCACTTGCATGTTAAATATTATTCGGCATCGGAGTCTACTAGCTTTATCAGTTGGTTGATGTGATATTTAATTTTTTTTTTATGAAGGCTGAAAAAGCAGAAGGATTTATAAGACTTCCAGACTTCAGTGTGGATCGAGCAATTGAATGCAAAAAAAAGCAGTAAGTTTACCTCTTGTTCCCAGTTTTGTATGATTTTTACAACGTTGCAAGGAATGAATCTCAGTAGTCTTTGACAGTGAAGCTGTGGGGAGTTCTTTTGTGTTGTATAAATAATGAGATATTAATTGAGCTACTGAAAGAAGACCATATTGCAAAAATATTTTTGAAAAAGCTTTGCCTGATGTTCTTTGCTAAAACCACAAACAAAAAAAACAGATGAGTGTGCCAAATGCATTCTTTTTCTTCTCCTTTTTTTTCATTCGCTTATTATGAGTTGACTGTAGTTCTCAGATGCCCCCTCTTAGTTGAGGAGGTCAGAAGTGGTGCAAGTAATACTGCATCCCTCCAAGCCTGGACTGTTCTTTAGGCTACTGTGGTGCAACTGAGCTTGGGCTGTACTTGAAACCTTTGGTTGTGCAGGGAACAAATATTTTCTTTAGCAGGGTGCACATTTGAAAATATTCTCTCCAAACTCCATATGCAGCACTGACTTCCAGCCGCTCCAGAGCACACTTCAAAGGTTTGGAGGGGTGTTGCTGTTGCTCAAAATTATAAAGTGCAGCATGGTTTTAATTGTTCCCCCTTGAGAACAATTTCATTCTTCTGATGGAGAAGTCAGAAGAGTCAGTCACTGTTCACCCACTGTGTGCTGCTTGTGATTTTACTGTGTCACATGTCCCTTCCCTCAGCCATCAGTTTTCCATGCTTTGGGGTCTTAGCCTGATTGACCACAGCACACGGAAGCTGTTCCATGTCTTGGGTCACTACTGGTGCTTTCTTCCAACATTTTCCAAGTTTGCTTTACATCTCAGAGCTGGAGGAAGCAAAACTGCACATAGTATTTGAGGTATGGGAATGCAATAGAATTATGTAATGAAATAATAGAAGACTTTGTTTTATTCTTTATTCCTTCCTTTTTAGTTCCTGTAGTTTACACTCTCTGAATAATGTGTGGCCTAGGAAATGAGCTAAAAATAGACTAGAGTTTTAAAGAAAGAGCTGTATGGATGGACAAACTAATCCAGATTAATACAGTGGAATGAATAAATATTTTAAATAATTCATTCAGCTATTGTTTTTTCTTTCTTATGGAAACTAGCTTTCTTCATATCTCTTTTTTTTCTTTTTCCCTAAAGTGCTATTAAGATCAGCCACCCACAGATCAAGACATTTTATTTTGCAGCAGAAAATGTTCTGGAAATGAACACGTAAGTAGGAGCGACTGGTCATGTTTCATCCTGTCTCATGCATGAGAACACCCTTTGAAAGTTCATTCTTTCACTGTCAAGCAGTCGTTGACAAAGTTATTTGGGGAATTTCTGAGTCTAATTTTTCTGGTCACTAAATGGAAGAAAGCTATTGCTCTTTGTTCATTGATTATAATTGAAATCAGAATCGCATAATTAGCCCAATTTTGATACCAGTCTTCCCAACATTTGCTGATATAAATCCCCTTCTGTTAGAGTGGTCCTAAGCAAGTATAGCTCCTGGGAAGAAGTGAGGGGAGAAAGAAAAGAGAGGGAAAAGTCCCAGAAGTGATCTAGGACTAGAATATAACAGTTTCTGATTTCAGAGTATCATATCAGCTAACAAGGATGGTTGAGGGGTAGAAAGGTCTATTTCTTTAATGTAAATTAGCATCAAACCATGCTGTTGCTGAATGATTCTAATAACAGATGGGAGATTTTTTTTCCACAAATGTCCAGAAGATTAGCAACCAAATGGTTCTCAATGGAAGAAGTAAAAATGGATATGAAGGCTGCCATTTTAGAAACCATTGAGCTATGAGAAAGATATTATTTTCTACTGACCCAATTTTGGCTGGTTTAGATATATCTCATATCTTTGCCCTTTTTGCATCAGACTGCAGTCTGTTCTCTATGCTATTGCATTAAGTGGCCAAATACTGGATACAAAGAAGTACAATTTAAGTGGGAGGAGAGCTCCTACAACAGTTAGGCCAGGATTTTAATTATGGCTCTACTGGTGAACTTTGTGTGATTTTTCACAGGGCAATGACTATCATTTCCTCTATAAACGGGAGACCTCTTACATATCTACCACAACAGAAAAAGAGAGAGGTTGAGAGAATGTGTGTGACCTTCTGAAAGATTTATTGATACAGAAATGTACAGTATTATAGTAATGTGTGTACATAGATACATATTAATAAATCTGTACTCTACAGATGCCTACAAGTAAATATAGAAAAAAAGAATCTGTTGCCCTTTGCAAGCTGGCACATCATGGAACATTCTGGTGGGACGATAACCATCCATTTTGGTGTTCCTGTGTTTCCCACCAGAGATCCTGAATGGAGTGACAAGTTCCTGAGGCAGATAGGATGAGGATGACTGAGAATAAAGGACAGTTGGACAGGAATATTTCAGTAGAGAGGGTAACCCTGGTTAAGAGGGAAGAGATGGAAGGACATATGGAGAAGGAAAATTAGAGCTAATGGAGGATATTAGTATGTGCTAACAGCCAGTTTGGAGTCCAGCTGGAAATTCTCATGTGAAAAATATTTAGTCTCCTGTGAGTGAGTGATTGAAATCTATGCAGGTATCTTAGCTCTTATGCCCCCAGAATGATTTTGTTCAAACTCCACTTCTTGACTAAATTTCATTTTGGCTTAAAGCTAGGTAGCCTAGTGTTAGAGCAGCCTGCACTATGCTGTATTAACTCCCCACTGTTGCAACCGATGATGTTTTCCTTGGCAAAGTATAAAATACATGCATTTAATACATAAAGTACGTGCATAGTCACGCATATGTCGAAACAGACTGAAAGACATCTGTTCTCTTGGCTCCAGTCCTGCAAACACACATGTGAATGGTTCCCCTGAACTCACTGGAGCATTTGTGTGTGTCAAGTTCCTGGTGTGCATAAATGCTTGATGGATCATGACCTTTTGTAACTCTTCATGCATATATCAATATATGCATATACCTGCATGTATATCTCTGTTAAATCAACAAGGGATTTATTAGCACAGTCATTTGTTTCACTAATTTATCATATATTTGCTATTGTCATGCACACATGAAAAGTAAAGGTATGCTGACTAGCTGCATGCATTTAGCTGGCCCGTTGTACATAGTTATTCTTGACTTGTCTGCCCTCGTCATTAATGAAGTCTTAGAATTTTTAACCAAATCTTTTCCTTGTTAAGTTGGATTTTCATTTAAAAATCATTCTGTTAGGATTAGCTGTCAGAAAAGAGTCAATGGACCACTCTTTATAGAAATGACACTTTGCTTTTTTGAATTGTTTGCAATTCTATTGCTCATACTGCAGCCTAAAAGTGCAGTTACTTTGATGCTGATCTTACTAACAAATTTCCTATTTCTTTAGTAGAACCAAAATCATACAAAATGATTTATTTCCAGAGAAAATTCCTACCCTTCATACTTTCTATATATGCCTTGAGTTTTAATCTTAAAAGCTTGAGCTTTTTCAGTTGATAGTTGCTTAAAATGTGGATAGCTCTGAGTGACCTGCAGGCAAATATAATACACAAAAAATATAACTAGGGAATGTTTCTAGCACCGGAAAAATGCAGCTACCTAGGAAGGTAAGTGAAAAACACCCTGGTTAATAGCTTAAAACAACACAGGAAGTGAGACTTACTAAAACCAAAAGTACATAGCAAGTTGAAAAATGTAATATGTTATGATAAAAATGTTTGGTTTCAAGTGGTGCAGACTGTGCTGCAATAGTTTTTGCCAGGGCAGCTGACATCATCTTCTATGCCTCCCATGCCTTTTTCTTCATCTCAGGTGAAAGATGACACCTCAACAGCTGGACTAATTCACTGACATGGTGTTATAGCACAAATACTTTTTCTTTAGCTTACACAAATGTGTCTCCTGGGTCATCAGTAGTACCTTTTTTTCAGTGTCAGTGAAAGATGTTCCACGCATTTAATCTTGCTCACTACTGGGAATATTAATATAGAGGTAACTAGTGCCTTTCTAGAAGATGATCTAAGAAATAGAAACTTTGACATTTAGTTATCAGGCTAGTGAAAACAGATGTGGTGATGTAGAACACAACTGAAAGGAGCAAAACTCAGTCTGAAGAGCATGTGAGTGTCCCTGACTCTGTGTTCCCTCTGTTTCAAACACAGGTGGCTAAGTAAACTGGGAATGGCTGTAGACCCTCAGGCACCAAACAGGAGGAATGAGGAAGGTATGCTCCTAACTGATTTCAGTGTGTAACTACATTGTGTTCTTCACAGTTTTTGCTTGGCCAAATTTTTGTCAGCTATTTTCTTTTTTTTGAACTGTCATCTTGGGTTTGTCTGAGCTCAGAGAAACCACATAGTCACGGCACAGAGTAATCACAAGAAAAGAAAAAATGGTGAGAAACTGTGTGAGTGAGAGACACTAGGTGATTTTGTGAGAGGTGTGTAACCACTTTCTGGCAGTTTTCTGGCTTGCTAAGCCTGCCAAGTGTGAAGAGGAACAGTTGTGCTGCTCTGGGTTTTGAGCTGGTGAGTTACATTACAGGAGCTGTGCTGCAGCATGGCAGCTTGCATGGGAACACCTTGAGCTCTGCAGACCCATCCCTACTGTGTCCTTCAGTCCTGGGGGTTTCAACCACTGCAGTGTTGGGGGATGAAGGGGTGGTACTGCTATCCTGGAGCCTACAATTTGTTTCAGAGCCAAGCCCGAGTTCATTATGGAATGAGAAACTTTAAAAGTTCTAAACAATTTCTTTATTGTCTTAATTTGCTGACCTAATATAACTCTTTGGTGGGAGGATACCAGCACTCAAATCACAAATCTGGGCAGAGGAGCTGGTTTAGAATGAGAAGTGCTCTGGGTAATCTTATGTTACCAAACCAGGAATGGACTCTAACCTGAGGAATATGTGTCATCATCTGGGCTTTTAAACCTCCATTTTTAGAGTATTGGTACCCAGTGCCCTTTTTAGAACTGCTGAGATTGTGAAGGAGCTGTCGTTATGAAGAAGAAATTGGTATTTGCTGTAGTATGAACACTTAGGTGATGCAGCATGTTTTGTCTAAGCAATGAAGTGCTCCTCTTTGCATCCCTTCTGCTTTATCACAAAATTCAAGATTGTGGTTTATGTCCAGGCTTGGGACATGTAATTACATTATTGATTAATTTGACCTGGCTCCATTTGTGCTCTGCCATTAAAAGCAGCTTTGGGGTTGGTAAACACAGATACTACTGGTTCCTGGAGAATTCAGCAAGTGTCATTAGTTTCTTTGTTCTCAGTTCACATTTGTTTCTTGTCAGGAAACCTGTAAATTTTCACACCATCTAATTTCCTGTATGAAGCCAACTTTCTCAAAACACTATAGGATAAAGGGCTATATTGGATATTAGGCTGTGTAGCAAGAACTGCAAGATACTTGTACTCAGGGAGGAAGTGTGCAAATGTGTTGCCCATCTTTTCATGATGGGAAGAGTTTGATGGAAAATGGGAATGGCCAAAGTTTTATACATGAAACCAATTTTTTTTAAACATAAAAAATGTGATACAGGTTTTTTTCATTGAATCAAGAATTATGAAAAAAATGAGTCATTCCACCAATCTTAATCTAAAAAAAAGTTTTTAAAGATAGTCACCCATTCCCCCCTCAGGAAAAGGCCTTTTGATTCTGCTGTCAAACACCTCCCTGTCTTTTCATGCATGTTTTGTTCACAGGTGATCCAGCAGCTGCCTTCAGTGTGGGTGCAGCACACACTGGCACCTGGCTGGACATGTCCTTACAGAAACATTGCTATGTTTCATTAAAACACTGTCACTACCCACAGTCACTTCTGTTCCAGCTGACCAGTTCTTCCTCTCTGTATCACATACCAAAATTCTTCAGAAGTCTTGGCTCTTTTTATGGCATTTCTTCTGTATTCACATACTTTCTGTGCATTTTAACATCCCCCCCTCCACCAATTGTCTGTCTGTTTAGAGTATCAGGAGCAGCTGTTTATTCTTTTCCAGCTCTTCTGTGTGCCTAAAAGGGGAGCCGTAGAAAGCATAAGCTTTTTACTGAGTTATTCAAAAGGATCTAATAGAGTATTAAAATTTGATATAGGCCTTATTGCAGCCAGTTTCAGTTCTTTATGCTTAGATGTGCCAGCATATATTTCCAGTAAACAGGATAGCATCTATGCTATCAAAACCCCGTGGTTCTGCAAAGAGTACGGGAGAAAAAAATAATGAAGCTCTGCAAGTTTCTCTTTGTTAACATGTTAGAAAATTCTCTCTCATGCACAAAATTCTTCTCTCTTACAACTTTATTCCCCTCACCATGTGCTTATTAACACTCACCTTCTCCCTACAATGACATGCAGAAAAATAAAGTGTGTGGGTATTAAATGAGTGAATTTTAGATGAAATCATCTCAGATAACTGTCCAGAGACCATGCTAACACACACTGCTTTCTGGTGGTGTGAGCCCCTGAAATCCATCTCTGATGAGGAATCAGAGCTCGGCTTAAGCAACTCCTGCTCTCTGGGACAGAGGCTCTTGGACATCCCAGGCTGCTGAGTGCATGTGGCCAGCAAAGGGCAGTGCTGGATCCCATGGACACCACTGGGGCAGCCTCTGTTCTGTGACCCTTGGCACTCAAGTTGTCCTCATCAAGCTCAAACATTGTCTTTGCAAACTCTTATGTCCCCAGCTCAGTGGGATGGGGGTGAGTGCTGTCCCCCTGCACATGTGGTGCAGGGCAGGATGAAAGCACTTGCTCCTGCAAAGGTTGCATTCATGTTGAGAGATTTAGCAAAAGTGATCTTTGTGGCCTTTCAGTGCACAAAGAGGACCCGTGAGGAAGACAGGGGCAAACATTTTAGCAGGGAATACTGGAGAAAGAGTAATGGTTTTACACTAGGAAAGGGCCATTTTAGACTTGATATAAAGATGTGATTTTTTACAGTGAGTTTGGCTAAACACTGAAACAGGTGGCCCAGAGAGGTGGCAGAAGCTCTATCCCAGAAACATTCAAGGTGAGGCTGGACAAGGCTCCAAGCAGCTTGGTCTAGTTGAAGGTGTCCCTACTCATTGTAAAGAAGTTGGACCATGTGACCTTTTAAGGTCCCTCCCAAGCCAAACTATTCTATGATCTTGTCCAATGTTTACTATTGCCAGGTCCTGGGCATAAGAACCAGCAACATTCTGCTTCCCTTTATCTGTGTCTAATTTTATCAACGATTATCACTTAATTTAATCCGCCTTTAAACACATCTGTGGAAAGTGTTTTCACCTGCTGCACAGAGCGTGACTGCCTCTGCCACATGCCAAGAGATATTGAAGCTCCTATGAGTTTGTTTTTGTTTAAAAAAAAAAAAAAAAGAGAGAGAGAGACAAGTAGGGTAGTCCTAGAGTACTGTGTTTACTTTTGGTATTACCTCTTCATGTGTACTGCCATGCTCTGCCATGCTGTATGGTGTGTCTATATGAGATACCATGTGTGACAAAAGATTCTCACAAGGCTGCTCTATAGTTTCCAAAGCATGATATGAGCAAGCTGTTTACTCCAAGATTGCAGCCAAACCCCCAGTGCCTGTTGCTAGCTCCAGGAAAACTTACTGGTTACAGAGATAAAGGAGTTGCCTCTGCTACTTGCAACAGCTCTCCAGCATTACCACCAGTGGATTAGGTGACACTGACTTGTTAAAGTGTAGTCCTGAATCCAGAACATCCTTCTTGGTGATCTTTGGTAGCCACAGTGCTGAAAAGAGCAATATGTTGGTCTAACTCTTTATTTTTGCTCATTTTCCATGTCTACCTCAGAATGCTACAGTGAAAGCGAACACGACGATCCAGAAATAACAGACACGCCACCTCCACCCTACACATCCCAGACACCACCTCCTCCTTCGGTAAGTGTTCCAGTTCTTACCTTGTTTCTTGTGCAAGCAGGTTGAAACAAAAGTCTCCTGAGGTGGAAGACCTCTAGGAATAGCCTAAAACCGTGTCTGGAAATAATCCATGCTGTGTTCCTGTGAAACCTTCGTGCACAGTCTGCTGGCCCCATGGCAGAGCACACAGTTGGCACATCCTGCACCACAGGGAGCTTTGCACTGTCAAAGATTGGCTCCTTCCTATTTATCTTGCTGGAGAAAGGAAGGTGTCGTTCTACCTCATGCACAAACTGTCTTTTCTTTACAAGATTTTTAACACATTGCTGTAAACTGTTTTTGTCATCCTAATCTCTGTTTTTTTTAAAGAAATCCATCCAGAAACCTCTCACTTTTTGTGACCTTGGTAGCATATCCAACAGCTTGGTATTTATTTATTTGAGTGAGCTGTTTTTAAGAATGCTGAATTTGAAGCTGCTTTTGTGGCAGTGAAGAGAGGTGAAGGGAAAGAGACCTCTTCACACAAAGATAAAAATCTGGTTTTTTCCTATATATCTGACAAATAGACTATGAAAAAAGAAAATAGGCATTCTTCCAAAATCTATGTAGCATATTGTCCCAGAATATTCCTTCCTGTCTCACTTCATTTCATAAATTAATATAAGCACTATGAACCCTCATGAGTCTAATCAAATTGGCTTACCTAATTACTATCTACTTCTTGCCCTATTAATCTTGTTTCTATATAATGTTTTTTCCAGTGATCTCATTGCTCTTACATGCGATTTAAATGAATTTAAAAAAAAAAAAGTATTTAATTTTTTAAAATTTTCCATTTTAATTTTTTTAAGTAAAGAAAGAAAAATTGTTAATTTGCTATGACAGGTAGCTTCACCAGTAGGTTTAGGGTGGGTTATTTTCCCTCTCTTTGCAGCCTTTAAAAGAAAATTTTCATTTGTAGTAGAAGTCAGGGAGAGCTCTTGCAAGTAGCAGATGCAATCTCTTAATCTCTGTAACCAGTAAATTTTCCTGGAGCTAGCAACAGGCATTGGGGGTTTGGCTGCAATTTTGGAATAAACAGATTGTTCATATCATGCTTTGGAAACTATAGAGCAGCCTTGTGAGAATTTTCGTCGCCACATTTTTAATTTTAAAAGTTTTTCCATTAAAATGGAAAGTCAAATTTACTTAATTCTTTTAGAATTAAGAATTAAGTGTTTAGAAATAAGTGATTTGGTTTGGGCTGGTAATAAGGAATCCTGATTCAAGCTTTACCGTTCACTTCCTCAAAGTTAACACTGAGGTGTGCAGTAATATCCGTAGTGCTAAACATTCTCGTGGCATCTCAAGGAAGGGAAGTGTCTGCAGCCTCACTGCTGTGGTACAAGTTCCTCTGTGGCACACTACGCCCAGCAGCTGGGGTGGCACAGGAGCAGCGAAGCAGGGGCAAATCTGAAATATACAGATGAGCTAGAGAAGCTTGTGCAATCACGAGCATTAATAAAAGGAGATGTCATGGACAGGGCTGCCTGTCTGGCAATCCCTAATTAGCTCACATAAAGCTGGGAGTGCATGTCACCCACTTGCCCCCCTCATTTTCAGTCAGATAAGCCAATCTTCACTTCCTCTCCTGAAACGTGTAACATTTATCACTGGAGCAATCCTCCTGACACTCGGGGGTGTGAGGCGTTCACTGCTGTAGAGCGTGATTCTTTATTGCTTGTATTAACTGGAAGTTAAATGTGACTGAGTGGCTATAAATATCAGAGAAGAGAAGAACTTTGGCAATATGTCCCCCGCAGTTATTCAGGGGCATGGATCAGTTAATGAAGTGTCTTGAATTTTATACTTCAGTGGCTTGCCTTTAGGAGGCTGTAGATGTGTTTTCAGTCTGCTCACCTCTGAATGAATGCCTGCATTTTTCCAGATGATGAGTTTTAAACAGGTGCTGTTTTTAGTTTTCTGTTTTTCTGGCTTCCTGCTGCTTGTTGGTCTGTTGCTGCAGAGGCGATCTCCGGTTGTCTCCTTCCCATATGCTCCTCTTGAGTGCTGGCCTCCACGTTTTGGCAGAGAGCACGTGGGAGGCAGGCAGTGGTGCAGATGCTGAGAGATCTTGCTTTCTCAAGCTTTCCCTTAAAGTGTATCTTCCCTTCACCCTTTACCTTTGACAGCTGATTTCCCTTCTTCTTATCCCTTAAAATCCTTTCTCTTGTGGACAAAGGTTAGCGTCTCCTGAGCAAAAGCATCATCTTTTCACCCCAGAACTGGCCACTGGAATAAGCTCCATTTGCTGTGGGTCTGCCCTGTGCTCAGCTTGCTTACATAGTGAGTAGGAGCAGCTCTGTTTGACTGCAAGTCAGAGTCCTCTTTTAAATAATGTATTTAATACCCCTTTCGCTTCTGGACAAGTGCTGAAACAAGAACAACACTGGAAGGAATGGGAAAGTGCAACTTCTACTAAAAACTGAATTCTAGGTTTGGAGCCTATGGTTGTCTCAGGGAAGACTGGTTAAACACGGCTCTCTCCTTGTTTATTTGTTGCAGAGTACTTGAAGCAAGCTGTGAAATCTCAAAAATGTGGTAGATTTGGGTTCATATTCTGTGAGTGCAGCACTTGGCCTACTTCAATTTTCTCAAATTGCTACTGGAAGTGACACTTAACCTGTCAACTCAGCTCAGTGTCAAGAATGCCACAGGCATTGACTGGAGTTTATTTTTATTATTTTAAGCAGAAAGGCCTCCAAACTTCTTGACATCAACTCCAAACCAAAAACTACTAGTCTGGAAACTAATAGAAACCCAGGTGTAGGCTCTATTACATTTTAGAGCAGCAAACACTTTGCTGTACTTCTAGCACAAAGTTGGACTTGCTGTTCTATTCTCTGCTGACTCAAACCGTTTTGAAATTTGCAGAAGAAAAACGTAGTGATTATGATGTTCCATGTGTATACATGGGTTTGGCTATTGTGGAGGAAAAAAGCAAGAGAGGAACAAGTAAATTATAACATCTGTAGGACAAAAGTTAAACTGACCACCTGCATTAATTTGTCCACATGTGAATGGATATACAGTTAAAAATCAGCAGATATGTTGAGACAATAGATTGCAGCAGTGACCAAAAAGCAGTTGAAGAGTTTAATGGTCATATTTTTTTCTCTAAAAAATATCTAGAGACTCATTAATCTCCAGTGAAATCCTTATAATCTGCTTTTTAAAACATCCCCAAATGGAATTTTTTTGTCATATGGATGATTGCAAAACTTCCAAAGAAGTAACTGAAATAAGTCAGGTAAAGATTTGTCATGCCAAAGAAAAAAGCAAAGCACAACACATATGCAGAGAAAAAGAAACACCTTCTGGCAGTCATATTTATTCTCACTCATATTTTTTAATTAACACACAATGAAAATTAAAGCAAAAATATATTCCCCTCAGTGGGGCACAGTCTTCATTTCAAGAACACTTTTTTAAAAATCGATAAATCCCAGAAAAATATAGGTGAGATCCAATATCTTCCTTTTTCAGCTTTGAAGAATTGAAATTAGATCATCTACCATTCTACCACTGTTACCGTTCAATTGTTCTCCTGACTTTATAAACTCTTCAACAATTTGTCGTCATGATAGGAGCTCTTAGATTAAATGCTTCATATCACCTGTGCTCCCAAGGGCATTTTTAGCACTCTCAGTTTACTACAGCATCTCCTTGTCCTTTGTTTGAGGATGCACATGTGAAGGTTTCTATTTTAGAAACAAAAGCACACCTGAAACACAGTGCTGTACTTTACATGGGGGAATATGGATGTCTGGGTCCTGCAATGTTTGGCACAGCCTTATAGGAATAGTGAAAGGACCAGACAACTTGTCTTATGACAAATGGCTGAGAGAGATGGGCTTGTTCAGTCTCAGGAAAAGGGGGCTCAAGGGAGACCTCATTGACTTCTACAATTCCCTGAAAGGAGGTTGTAGCCAGGTGAGGGCCATGCCTACAGTGACAGGGCTGGAAGAAGTGGCCTTAAGATGGGACAGGGCAGATTCAGATTAGATATTGGACAAGTTTTTTTCGCCATTAGGTTGATCAGGGATTGGAATAGGTTACCCAGGGAGGTGGTGGAGTCACCATCTCTGGAAGTGTTCAAGAAGCATCTGGATCTGGAGCTGGATGATGTGGTTTAGGAGTTGCAGTGGGAGTGTTGGGTGGATGGCTGGACTGTATGATCTAGAGAGTCTCTTCCAACCTTGGCAATTATATGACTCTATGAATGGCTTAGAAAATTTACAAAAGTGAAGAAGCTGCTATAAGCAAATAGTGCTCACAGTCTGATACTGGTCCTCCTCATCCTCTGAATTGACTACTATGTGATGCAGCTGTATTAGAAGCACAGGAAGGCTTTTGTTAATGTAAGAAGGAAGTAGTATACATTACAGTATACAACACTGAATTGCAGAGTTTAAAAATCATAATAAAAAAAATTGTTACTCTTGGTTTTGTTTATTTGAATAAAGCTTATTTCTGGTTGGGTTATAAATAGGTATTTCAGGCTAGCCCCCTTTACTGTGTTTTCAGCTTTTCCAGGTTTCCCTAGCAACATCTTCTCAGTAAGTTTCAATATTTTCAGTCTAGTTATCATCTGTTTTAATCCTTACACAGATCTATTCTACATAAATATTGAGGACAGAAACATGCCAAAATTGTGGTCCATCAAGTCTAGTATTCCAATGCTGGCATTGACCAGTAGGAGATGATATGCAGAAGGAGTAAATTTCTGCAGTAGCAAGAAATCTGGCTTTCATATCAAGATGATCTCATCACGGCTTCTGATAGTTTCTGCTAGGCCTTCTTACCCTGGTGAACAATTATCCCTTGAATGGACCAGAAAAAATACTTCTTTACTGTACTTCAGTGCTTGAGATCCCTTCTGTCTACCTCTGGTTATTACTTTGGTGGAACTGTTAAGTGCTTCATGTTCAATGGCTAATTAGGAGTTTCTCTTCTTCAATCTTGATTAGGCCAATAAAGTGAAGACAAATTAAAGAAAGAAGGTGAGTGTGAGACTGATCAAGGAAGGCTACATTCAGCATAATAGTTTTCCTTGGTCTCTGTTTCTAGGCATTGTCAGGTTTATATCACTTTTGTTTCTGGCTTCCTGGTGGCTTGGTTTCTGAAGGAAAGGAGATTGATTGCAACACCACAGCCTTATTTGGATGATTACATCAATTTTGGTCATTTAGCATTTCAGCTGCATATTGGTAAATCATGTAGAACCTAGAAACAGGAAGAATTTGTAAATAATTTTTCTTTTTTCTTCCCCCCCTCCCGCTCCCCATCCCCTCACTTTTGTTTTGGGAAAGCAGGATCAGCAGAAATCATCATTCACCTCAACTCTGTCAAGTGAAGCATCTTGTTCTCTCTCCTCCCCTGAAAGCACTTTCAACTCTCAAGAATCATCGTCTTCCCTGACATCCAAAGTGGTTTATTCCGAGAGGCAGTCCTGGCTTGACCTGGTTACCAGCTCAGCCACAGAAGAGGCTGATCAGCCTTTAACCTTCTGCGTACAGATCCATTCTGATGAGCCGCCAGAAGTGGTCTGTGGAGAGGCAGCAGAAAGCCAGGAAGTCTTGCTTTCCGAACCCAGTGGTGGACCCCAAACCTCTTACCTAAGTGCAGATACACATTGTCTAGCTGTGCCAGATGCAGCAGGACAGCGATCACTAGCCAAAGGTGAGCTAATGAGAGAGATTTTTGCTTCAGAGCCATACAATATAAGAGTTACTGGTTTCCTTAACTTCCTTTCGCCTTCCTTCCTCTGTATTCTTCACTGAAGAGTTTTCCAGTGGCACATCATTTGTAACATTTAATTTATTGTGCATTACATATATAACCTAGTATCTGGTTGGTAGGTACCTTTACAACTTTTCTCAAATTGTGTCTATATGTTAGATCATAACCCCTGTATATAAATTTGGCATAGACATAGCTTTATTAACATTCTTTATTTCAATGCAGATATCTTTTATTACTTAGGATTGAATAAAAATGTTAACAAAGTGTGTCACAGAATGGGCACTGTAACAAAACTGTAATATGTAGGGAACGGTGAACATGGGGTTAAGTCAGTCCAATTTTACAAATATGTGCTGTTGCATTTACTCAAAGTACATACTCCCTATTTGCTTCATTAAGCTTCATTGTAATCAAGAGAAAGCAACTGAAATCCTGAATCAGAAAGTCTATTAAGACTGGATTTTGTTTAAGTAAATAGGTATCTGCACAGTATCCTCCTACTGAAATGTACTGCTAATTGAAAAAGATGGCATGGTTCCAGAATTTGGTCATTGTTACTGTTCGTAACTCCCCTGTGTAGCAAAGAAATATCTCCTGCTGTTTGAGCAAAGCTTCTTCTTTCTGAATTAAAGGCAGTTGAAGCCTTAGAGTTGTTCTGGCATACAATTATTCTCGTAGAGGGGTAATGCATAAGGGAACAACAACATTCCTGTGCCTCAGCTCTTCCTGTGATTCCAAATCCTTGTAAAGATTTGAAGTGAGTACTTTGTTGCTGAAAGAGAAGGCTTGTCTCAGCACAATGCAAAAGAAAGGTGCACCTAAGAGCTTAGGCTGAAAGCAATGCAGTGGTGGAAAGAAACAGCACTGGAGTTGTTAGGAACTCAGGGTATTTCTCTGTAGGTGAACTTGACACTGAAAGATGATACTATGAGGCACATTAGTTACCTTGTCAGTCCCCCTATGTTTTTCAAATATCAGCGCTTAGAAAGCTGGCGACACTTATCAAAGCTCAGAAAGCTTTATGTTGTCATACCTTTTCTGATTTTACACACACAAAAAAAGTTTTCATAAAAAGTGAAAATTTACTCAGTGTTTTATGCTCACCTACCTTATCCATTTTGTAGGCTTCTCTGCTAGAAAATTCTGCAGCAATAAAGATCGGAAAGAATTAAAATCCAGAGTGATCATATATGCTGTTTCTATGTGTTGGAAAAGAGTGCTGTGCTTTGAGTTACTGTGGAATCTAATTCCCTTAATTCTGGCTTTGCAAGTGAAAAGGCTGGGGCTGGCAGAAATGTAGTCTCTAATGAAAATGTCACAAAGACATATTAAATATATTGTTTTCTGTAATTTTACCTTCTGGGTTAAATTTGATAAAGTAATGTCTTTGGAAAACATTACTAGGGACATTAAAGTTTATTGTTGGAATGTGGGTCATAAATGGCATAGTGACTTATAGATCCTGTTGACAAAGATTCAATGGTTGCTCCTCAGAAATCTAAACTTTTGCTTAGAATATTTTCCTCTGGTATTGTCAGAAATCCTGCAATAAAGCATAGGTTACTGCTTTCCATTATAATGTAAGGGTGACAAATGCTTTTATGGATGCCATAGAATTAGCATGACACATTAATAATCACTTAAATTATAGTTTGATAGGATCAATCATACCAATAAAATGGAATTAAAATGTAAATCAAGGCATATTTTGGTATACACTCCTGCAGTGTACAAGATGGTTTAATTTTGATTAAGATTATTCCTGGAGAAATGAATTCTTCTATTGCTCACTGCTTAGTTGATGGGCAACTCTAATGGTAGAACACAGAGCACTCTTATCCTACCCACAGTGGTGATCACTGACAGAATTCCAGAAATAGATAATTTCACCAAGACAGTCACTATGGAAACTGCATAACCTCACTAGCCCTTGTCTGCATCATAACCCATTGCTGACCAAGTAAATGTACACCACACACAGGTTTGTCTTTCCTGTATCAATCTGCATATTATGGGCTGGGTGTGGAGAGCGCTGCTGTGTGGGGCCTTCTCCTGCAATGATCACTGAAAACATTAAGGAAATATTTTGCAGGTAGATTAAGCTACTTCAGTTTGAGAATGAGGTAGGAAAAGAAGGATTAATGTAAAGTAACAATTCAGTTTCAAATGAAAGCTACCAAAAAGAATGCAATTCTGGCTCTGTGACTTCTCCCCCAAGAATTTCCCTCTCCAGATAGTTGATAAGCATGTGCACAAATACTGTGAGATGAATTCAAGTTGTTGGGTAAAATCTAGCTGCAGATTCTCCTTATTTGCAATACTGGTAAGAACACCTTTGTTATCTGATGCAAAACAGAGGCATACCTCAGTGCAGTCAGTATTATTTGCTTTACATTGCATTTCTGACATGTTTCAGAGTAATGAGACTGCTTCCAGGAGGAGATAAGTCTGTCTTTTGTCAACATTTGTCCTGAAAGCAAATGTTCCCTGTGTATAAAGATGGCCCTGCTGTCACCAGAACAGCTATGTTCTTTGATAGTCTTTGATTCCAGTCCCCCCCAGAACCTACAGGTGTGTCTGTGTTCTCTCTTTCTCCTGGTGAGGATAAAAAAACCCTGCCACACTGTTTTCTGGCCACATTCTTCATGGTTCAAGGTAAAACCACAAGTTGGATTTTTGGTTGTAGCTGATAAGAGCCTAGGGTTGAGGTGAAAATTTTCTAGAACTGAAGAGCATCTTTGCTGGACAAAGTCTAGAAATGGAGACCAGTGTGAGAGAAGTTGGTACCTAGAAGGAAGAAAGAGTAGCTGTGGTTTTGTGGGAAGAGCTTACCACGAAAAAGTACAAAAACAGTGAAGAAACCTTGGTAATGAATTAAACAATAAAAGAAACATTTTTTCAGAAATAAACGGATGGATCTCTATAAGAAAAGCTACAGATTCAACGAAATGATAATGGATTCTTTTTCAACAGTAATTATTTAATGAACTCTGCTAAGCAATTCTGAGTATCTGGTGCAAGGAGCCATAACATATGATATTTTTGACAGTCTTTCCAACCACTCTTAGTGGCGTTTTGAACATTGTCAGCATTAATTCTCTGCACCAGTTACTGAGGAGATGTTACATACCAGAGAGTGATACAAAGGGGAGTTTATCAGTTTTTCTTTTGAAAGGAAACCAACAGTATGCATCCATTTATTTTTTGCGAATATTTGAGTCTTTGGTGATGCAGCTTGCTACATGCACAGTGACAAAGGATTCTAAGCTGCCTGTGATGCAAAGAAACTGAAAGGTAAACAAGAAACAGCTGAGAATACAAACAGCTGTCTGACTACGTGCACTGTATCCAGAAGCTGGCCTTGACCCCTCCATGATGGCTAGATGAGCTCTCCAGCTGAACTCCATCTTTTGAATTTCTTCTGGCAGCCACTGGCAGAAAGAGTATATGACTCTGATGCACCACCATTATGATCAAACACTGTGACAGCTAAAGGAAGCCACAGGAACTGAGAGATTATACAAGAAAATAGCAATGTGTGTTTCTATTTATTTAGAGATCTACTATAGCAATAAGATCCTTCTTCCTTGCATTTTCTGAGGGTTTCATGATCATATGAAGTTAATGCATCTTGGCAAGACATTCTTATTTTATCACTTCTGATTTATTTTACCTTAGCTCTGTAGAAGTTCTGGTAGCTGTGAAAGATCTGGTGTGTGCTGATATTTTCAAACCTGTACAGCTTTTCAAATACATCTTGGATTTTATCTGGGTTGGTTTTGCGGGAAGGAGTTGGTTAAATAGGAGATGGATTCATTCAATTCCTTCTGTTCTCCCTACTGACATCCTCTTCCTCTCTGGAGTCTGCCTGTGCCAGTAATAGCCAGAACAGATCCTCTGGTGTGCTCTGGCCCCTTTGCTCTTTCTGCAAAAGTTATAGAAAATAGCTACTTCATGGCTGAGACTAGGTGAGAAATGTGCCTATGGTGAGAACAACTGTGTAGAGAAACAACTTGAACAATTGTTTTGTTTCTCATCAAAAACGCTTTAGAAATCACAGTGAGAAGTAGAGTGCTATGATTTTCTGAGCCCTCTGAAAAAGAGATACTTATTTACGTTGTTTCTAGTTCAGGCAGTTTATTAAAATTCCACCCCTCACTATAGAGTCTACTATACTGTCAGGCAATAGCATCTAATTGTCTGTGGTAACAAAGTTTTTCTATTATTTTCTTCCAGTTTTCCTCCTTTAGTTCTGCATTTGCCAGTGAGGAGTTTGCTTGAGTTATGCTCAAGTAATTGATTTTTTAAATATATTTTCTGTTCCATAATTATGTGGGAAATGTGATTTCCCTGAAGTGACTTCATATTCCCGTCAAAAAGTCTACTACCACTATGGAGAAGGGCTAGGGGGTGGATAGGTAGGTAAAGGCAAAAATCACTTACAACTTTTTTTTCCTCTGCTCTTCCCAGACTTGGGTGTATGTGTTCTCTTCCAACAGCATCAAAATTTTTAGCAGACTTAGAAACAGAGATGCTGGCAAAGATACAAGAAGCTTATAAGTGTAGCAAGAGCAGGAGGAAGAAGCAGAGTTTTTTTCCCTGTGATTAATACACAATTGGGGGTCTGTGAGATCTCAGTTACAGAATGGGAGAATAAATATTTACATTTCAGATAAATTTAGTCAGATACGTTCTGTTGGACGTGGTTTTCAAGGCAAAATTCTCTTTCTGCCAAGTATTTCTAATTTCTATATCTTTACACAGGGAAACAATCAACTTTCACAGCTGCTTTTTGAAAGCTCTGGATAATTTCACTTATGTAGGCCTAAAGAGCATTAAAGTTGAGATTTCAGACAGGCTCCTGTACTGATGCTCCAAGATGGGGAGTCTCAATAACTTAATGTCTCCAGCCTGTGGCAAGTTGGCTGACAGGAGAGCAGAAGCTGAAAATTGAGGAGGTGAAGAACAGACATGCTGAAGCTCTGGGAGGCTGTTCTTGTCTGTGATACCTCCTGTTAGAGGGAAATTCCAGATAAATGGCATCAAGCCTCAGAGTTGTGTTTTAGTTCCCCCAAATCAGAATTTTTCAGTTCCTCCATTACCTCTCCCTCTTTCAGATTTACAGCATCAATCTAGTGCATTCAGTAGCAGCTTCAAGCCTGCAAAATGTGAGCTTTTTCTTTCTGAACTTGGCTCAAGGGTATTCAGGACACTGAAGGTAAAATTCCAGGTAGGTAACAGATAGTCTGGCCTCACTTTATAGAGGTTTATTGGCAGACATATCCTTCCAGACAGCAACAGTGTTCTACAAAAACACACAACATTAGAATACTCTTTTATTTTTTAAATGTAGTTGAAATTCATCAAAGATGGAGACAAAAGTGCTATGTAACTCATACCTGGCTCTACACAACCTGTAAGTTCTACTCACCTTTATTTTCCAGCAGTTTGCTGGAATTCCATTTATTTGCTTTACTGCCACTTTCTTTACCCACCTGATATGAAGAATCTCACCCACTCCTTTCCCTTTGAAATTACCTGACCCTGATTAATCCCTTGGAGGGTAAGAATGGTGAAAGAATAAGAAATAGGAAAGGAGTTTCAAGGTAGCAGTCTTGAAAGTCTGCAGGAGCTGAGTACACTTTGTTGGGCAAGTGCATCATCTGGGAGCCTTCTCCTGGGCTTTTCCAAGTTCGGCTCCATTTTTTTCTGTGCTGAGTGTTACTGCACTCCTTACAGTTTCCCACAAGTGCATAGAAGATATCAGAATATTCAGCATGGAAGAAGAGTGTTCAGTGAGGGTGTTTTCTCAGGCTTGCTGCTTTGTAACCCTTATAGGATACTGAGGAAGGTCATGAATTAGCTACAAAAGGTGTCTGGAACAGGGACCTTAAGTCTCCTGTGGGTTGACTTTATCTAAAATTTGCTGAACAGGATTGAAGCAACCTTTTTTTCTTCTTACATAGTCTTTCTTGGATAGCTGATAAAAATCAATGTCTCTCTCAAAGTATTACTGTGCACAGTCCTGATGGGTGATGTCTACAGCAGAGCTGAGCCAGTCCTGTGAGAAGCTGGCTAATGAAACAAACAGCTGCTTCATCCCAAGAAAGTAGGCAGGAAACTAGTCATTACGAGCCTCATGGCATGTGCCAACAGCTTTCAGGAAATACTAATGCTGTGTATTATGCCTTACACTTCCATTTTTTTTTCTGTTTCCTGCAGCTTGTTAAATATACAACAGTTCTCCTTTTCCTCCCTCAGCAATGTACCAATGTTGGAAGTTATATTTAGTTTTTGTCACATTACAGCAGGCTTTTTATAATGACACAGTAGTGAAGAATAGGCCAGAAACACAGTGAAGGCAAATATTTGCAGCATATCATAAACCTTTCTCGTAACCTAAATATTTAGAAAGAACAGAGATGTAGGAGGATGCTGTACTTTGTAAAATATGGAAAAGATAAGAAGCAGCCTCCTTAGCATGCTGACATATTGCAGAAGTCTTTGCAGCAGCATGAGTGAGCAGAAGGACTTGTTCCTTTTGTTTGGAATATATTTGCTAACTGCAGATGATTTAGAAAAGTAAATGTTTAAAACAAAAAAGTGCCCAGTCGGTTCAATGGGAATAGGAAGGACTGCAACTGAGAAGAGCCATCACCACTATCCCCAGTGATATAAAACCAAGTGGTATCCAAAGTGGATCTTGAGGGATTCCTTAGCACCCTGAAAACAGCAATAGTTGTAAGATTTTCCTTTAGCGATCACTGAGGCTGGGTGGACTGAAGGACAAGAAGCGAGTAGCACAGTCTGTTGCTAAAAATGGCCTTCTGCTAAAATGCCCCTACATATGCCCAATATAATTTTAGTTTTTGTCTGTTCATTTATAAGTTGTTTTATTCTGAGAAGTACCTTTGCTTCAATTTCCATCTTATTTTATGCTCTTCTCAGCTGTTTATTCACTTTTCCTTTCATGTACTCTCTGTCTTGTAAGATGGTCCTGCAGCTTGGGAGCAATATCAGAATAATTAAGGTGGAGATAATCAAGGCTTTGTTGTGAGGCATTACAAGCAAATTCTCTGCTGCAATCTGTGAAATTCAGGGACAAGACATTGGATGTCCCAACAATTCTTGCTTTAATCTGTTTTCTAGGGACCTTCTCTTGGGGCTCCTGAAATGTTTCTATTTTTCTTTTAATTGGTCATTTTTTTAAAACTCTATTTTCAATGATTACCAAAACCTGATAATAAATCAGCACACCAAAGAAAATTTGCCCTGTGAGTTGCCTCGTAGAAGCGTAATTTACTGTGTGTAGCATGCAGAGAGGGGTGAATGTGTGTCGATGCTACCAGAGTTCTTTCATTCAAATACAGAGCTACTGGCAGTTCAAAGTCTGTGACACATTCAGAGCATTAAAGCAGCACTCTATTAGTGGAGATACAAGCTCACATCTGTTTGGATCATTACCTGATTCTTAAAAACATGTGAGTTTGGAAGTATGTCTTTCTCATAGGCATTATTACCCTAGAAATTACCCTAATTGCCCTTTTACTCTAATACCATTATTTTTTGAATTGGTTGAGAGACCTTCTGATGGCTGACAATAACTTTTCTGTTATCTGCTGCCACATTCACGTTCTCATACTCAATTCACTCTTTTCTTTGCAGACCAGGAAAAATGTGATGATGATGATGAGATGGAGCGACTTTACAAGTCACTGGAGCAAGCAAGCCTGTCTCCCATTGGTGATCGTCGGCTGTCCACTAAGAAGGAGCTTAGGAAGTCATTTATCAAGCGCAGCAAAAACCCCTCCATTAATGAGAAACTCCACAAAATTCGAATGCTGAACAGTACATTAAAGGTGAGTTTGCAGATCTTGCCAAGGAAAACTTGACAGAAAAAAACAGTTGGGCTGAAAAAGAAGCAGTATAAACTTCAGCCAACTCTAATTGCATGTTTACGGAAAACCCCAGAGAATTTTGTTAAGTTTTTTAATTCTTTTTTTTTTTTTTTCTGCTTCATTGTGAATACTGATCTGCATTGTGTTGTTCAGTTTGAACTGGAAGCAGAGGCAATAGCTCATGAGGGACTCTCTTGCAAAAGTTCCAGCCCATTTGGAAAATGTAATAAAGAAAACTCTTAGTTAACTGGAAAACTTGCAAACTCAGCTAAGTACACTAAACAGGGGAGCCTTAAAAAAGGAAAAGCAGACAAAGTACATTGATGATAAAGGACATGAAAATGACCCTGAGCCAAAAAAAGTTTTCCTTATGTGATTATCAGAGAATGTACAGGATGTGCCAAAGCTATTGTAAAGACCTCCTGTAACTAAAATATTTTTAATAGCAAAAGCATCCTGCTTTTATGTTGGAAATATATAATGAACTGGAGGGGTACAGGGGTTCAGGATATGTTACATGAAAGGGCCAGTAAATCAGTCTGGAATACGGGAATTTGTGAAGGCGTTTACTTGCCAGCATCAAGTGTCACGGGATTTCAAAGCCTGCTTCTGAGTGGCACTAAGGGAAAAAAAAAGCTTAACCATAGCATTTATATCGTAAGGAGAAGAAAGAATAAGTGCAAACTCAGGTCTTTGCTTGTTTCTTTTCGTATGCATTAGAAGCAGGAATTGAGTATCTTATTTCAAATGGATGTATTTGACTTCAGGCACTGTAAGCTGGAGAAATCCATGTAAAATGGCTGGACTTGATGATCTTAGAGGTCTTTTCCAAACTTAGCAGTTCTATGATTTAAAACTTATGGTGTAAGCACAATCATTGGTTTGATTATTAGTTGTGATGGGAGGTTTGGGTTTGGCACATCAGCCTGTATTGAGATTCCTGAAAAGTACAATTGTAAAGGGAATTGGGAAGAGAGGCATTCTTCTTGGCTGCATATGAGACCTGATGAAGTCTCTCCTTAGCACAGAAGAGTTTTCAGTGGCGGTGGCTACAGTAGTTTTCATTTGAAGTAAAGTGATCGCCCCCACACTGCAGAAAGTTAGTTTAAAAAGTATGTCTATTTTATGGGATAGGAAGCTATATACAGAAACATTCTGCAAGGTTTTTCCTGACAGGAGCCTCACTAATAAATCTAAGAACCAGTTTGTGCAAAATGGAATTGTATTTTGTGAAGCAGTCACTTTCATTAGTATGGAGATGAATGGAAGCCTTAATGTCAGACATGAGCAATGAGGACAATGGTGCATTAATTTAGCATGGGAGTATTATATAAGTTGTGATTAACTTAGGCTTGTCTGACACTTGTATTTAATATGAAAAAATAAGTTTTGGAGTGCTCATAACACATAAAATGTGGTGATCTCTTTGGGTTTGTTTTTCGTTTTTTTTTTTTTTCTCTCTCTTCAAACTAAGAAACTGGAGTATTGACAAGACAAATAAAAAAGCACAGACACTTCCTCATAGACACAAACAGGGTTCTGTACACAGCAGTATTTAAATTAGCCTGTCTGAAAGTCAAGTGCCTGCAGTGGGAAAGTGCCATACTCTTTATATCAGTGGAATTATGTGCTTTTAAAGTCAATTTTCTTAATGTATAAGACATAAGATAATTGGAAATTATCTACTGGAAATTTAAAAATCAGGAACTTTTTGCATCTGATTCATATGTACTCTGCTTAGATTAAAACCCTATTAGTTTGAGAAGTGATTTATGTAAGTCTCAATACAACTTTAATTTTAGACTTTTGACTCCACATATTTAGCAACAGATTAATGTTGCTGCCACAATATCTCATTAACAAAACATGCTGTGAATACTTTGGAAGAGAGGGAAACTATGTGTAAATACTTCAGTCTTAGTGAATATGGGAATGAGTTTTAGTGCTATGGGAGAAATTCCATGGTATGGCTTTTTGCTGCCAAGTTTGTCCAATAGAAACACTCCTCTCCCTTCCACCTCTCTATCTCCTTCTCTTCTTCTCTCTAAGCTAACTGTAATATCCCTGCATCAATGCCAGAAGTCTTCTTAAAAGGGCTGGCATTGGGTCTTGAGGGTAGGACGTGTGTAAAATACAGTTGAACAAGCTTTTGGGTTTACAAAGCAACGAAGGCATCACAGAGATTGGAGCAGTTGAAGGTTCATTAGGGTAGCAGTGGGATATGGATGTATAAACAGCTGATTGCTGCTATCAGAAGGTGAAATGAATGTGTGGGAGTACTTTCAAGGTGTTTTCAAGGCAGCCACCAGCACAGGGTGTCCTTGGGTGTGATGAATGGGTGGCAGCAGAAGATGGTTAGGATCATTCCAAGACTTTCACACTGGAAGGATGGAGGGATGGAGCCTGGCAAAAGGAGTCAAATTTTGTTAGTGCAGCATGGTGTTTCCATTAAGAAATGATACCTGCTAGCTTGGGCTTCTCTAACCTGTGGTCCATTGCATGGATAGGCAATATGGATTGGAAAAGCAAAGTGGTTTGTTATGCCACAGTGTGTGAGCACATCAAAGAACATCAGTGTGTAAGGAAGGTGTAATGAAGACAGAGCCAGTCTATTTTCAGTGGTGCCCAGTGACAAGACCAGAAGTGATGGGTTCAAACTGAAACAGAAGGTTTCCCCTGGATATCAAGAAACACTTTTTTGCTGTGAGGGTGACCAAGCACAGGTTGTCCGGGGAGGCTGTTGAGTCTCTATCCTTGGAGATATTCAAGAGTTATCTGCACACAGTCCTAGGCAGCCTGCAGCAGGGGGCTCTGTTTGAGGCGAGTTTTGGACCAAATGACTTCCAGAGGTCCCTTCCAAGCTCAACCATCAACTGTAGTTCTGTGACATAAAGTGTCTCAGTGTCCCTGCATCAGTCACTGCTCACATCTTACAAGTGAACCTGGGTGCCTGCAATATATGTTCTGAGCTTGTCTTGCCTGAAAGTAGATACCAGATTTATTAGCAGTAGCTGGTGGTAGATGGCAGCCACATGTACTGTAGCCACTCTACTGCTAGTGCACAAATTATATACAAAGTTATGTTCAGTCCAGCTCTCAGAGAAGAGACTTTTATTACATGGAATAAGTGTTTTTTGAGAAAGTTATAACTGCTGTGAATTACAGAAATAAATGTTGTTGTGTCTCGTTTCATGCAAGTACTGTCTTGTTGAGAGACAGCATAACAATATGTAATTTTCACATGAATCTTCTCTCATCAAGTTTTGTTAAGAAGCCTATAAAAAATCTAGATGAAATCAAAACTTGCCTTTAACTGGTAAGAATTTTTACTGTAGACATAACTTTTATGACCTATGCTCTAAAAATGGGAACAAGCTGCCAGGAGGATGGGTAATTGGCCATCTCCTTATGACAGGAGTCTAATGTTCCCAGAGTTTTTGTTAGGGACGATTGTCTTGACATTTTCTATGGAAGTAACCACTTGTTCTCTTCCTAGTGTAAGGAACATGACCTGGCCACAATTAACCAGTTGCTAGAGGACCCAAAGTTGACAGCGGTGAAGTACAGAGAGTGGAGGAGCACAAACATCATGCTGGTCCAGGATATTTATCAGCAGCAGGAGGTCCAGGACATGTCCACAGAGAATAGTGAGGACCAAGAGATGACTTCACAACCAATCACTGAAAGTGCTATTTGATCAATGGCTCATGGCAAGACGTGTCCATGGCTCTTCATGTACAAGCAATTTAAGCTGCTGAATCTTGAGGTTTGTTTTTCGCAAGTGTGCTTCAAAGGGAAAACAACCCCTTCTCCACAGTTTTGAATGGTCTTGCAGAACTCGTTTATTGTCAAAGGGGCAAGTTCCCCCAACTTGCCCAAGTTCCCCCCCAAAAATGCCTAAACGTGGCCTGCAGACATAAGAAGACTATTTAACAAAGCAGCAAAGAAATGTTTTTCAGTTTTTGGAGAAGAAAATTATACATGTCCAGCTCCTGGAGGACACAGAACTATGTAATATGTCCTGTATAAATATGAGATCCTTGGGATTGTCTTAACCATACAACTTACTTTGAAATGAAGCTAAACTGATACCAACAGGATATAGTCTGCTCTACCTTTTTACCTGATGTATACATTTTCATCTCTGTACCCATTTACTTTCACCACTCTACCACTTTAAGCTGTGACAAATGGAAGATTAATTATGCATGAATTGATACTGTAGACAGCTGCCAGGCACCCAGTTTGGGCTCTGCCTGATGTTTTATGAGCTTCAGATTTATTTATGGTCCAGACCAAGAAGGTACTGTCTTTCTACATGAAGAAGAGGTCTCTCAGTTTTTGCTAACATGTAATTTACTCTTCGGTGAGACAAGTTTCAACTTTTCTTATGGACTTGGCATAATTCCTTGGAAGATTATGTTCTTTCTTATTTTTGACAAGTGGGAGTATATAAGGTACAAGTTCATCCCGAAGTCCAATTTAAGGAATCATAATCACAAGCCAGAAGCTAAATACCTAAACTCCTAATGTGGACCTGGAAGTGTAAAACAAAGCTTCAAGTATTTTTGTAAATATATGTAATTTTATGGCTTATATAAATGTGATTATGTACTGTATAGATGTTTTATTTATATATTTATATATGCTGAATTTCCTAATATAAATAGGCACATGTGGACCAAGCCCACCCAGCTGTGACTGCTTACAGATTGACTTGAAATGCCTCTTTATTTTGTGTTCCCCCATTGCAGATCACAGGAATGGCTCTACAGCTGAGACTACCCTGAGACATCTGCTGTGACTCTTTCTTCTGCTTTTCTAGCTTTGAGTTTTAGATGAAGAAAATCTGTACAACTTAGGGCCTGAAAAAAATTTACTAGAAAGTTTCAAGATTTCCCTTTGGTCAGAAAAAATAAGAGGTTTTGCTGCAGGATCAGGATTTTTTGGCTTCATTCTCCTCTGTACAAGGTTTTGGGCTTTTGTCTTCTCTTCTGCAGTGTAAGGAATTTTGCAGAGTGCTGAATTTTGAAAAGCAAGAATTAGTCCACCATTCCCAAATTAATGCCACTACAGGAACTATGAGAATCTGCACTTTTGTTGCTATTTCGTGAAGATATTCTTTGCCATTAGTTTTCAATACAGTTTATCCTTAAACCAAATACTCTCTAGAGATGCAGCCATATTCTGTCTTTATACATTTTATGTTTTATCATAGTTTGATTGAGAAAACAAAAGATAATGATGTTAGTGGGAATATATGAAATCTTTTCCACCTCTGTAGTGATTAGTTTGACTGCTTATATTGCATTTTTAATACTCAGAAGCTTTTCTTTTTAAATAGAGGCAAGGAAATAGATGAAAATGACTAAATGAGGAAGCAGACACAAAACCCTGGATGGTTAAAAAGCTATTCTTTTCAGGAAATCATCATATGAGTGGTGATTTCATCACTTCACTAATTCTAACTAGAAGTTAAGCAAGCTTAATACCTGGTGTGATTTGGTTTGGCGTAATTGCGTCTTAAAAATTGAGCCCATTTTTAGGTTGCTTTTTTTGTTCTTCTTTTTGGTTTTGGGGTTTTTTCGTAATTCTTCCACCATTCCCGTTGAAATGCTGTCAATTCACTGCTGAGAGCACCCTGAAAATTAGGAGTGTAGGGATTAATCTGCTTGGTCCATTTCATTTTTAACTACCTGGTGCTAAGTAATTGATAAATACTGGAGGTCAAACTGCACATACATTTTCTATCACACATGTGAATTTCTCACAAAACAAAGCATGTAAACACCATTTTCCTTCAAAAGCATCTTCACTTAGACCTTGAAAAGAAGCACAAGGTTAAATGGCCTGTTGAGCTGGGCCAGGCAAGTCAGTGCCTTGCAGTTCTGAGCAAAGTCCGAGTCAACTCCATTTGCTGAGGTAGATTTGGAGTGTACAAAGAAAAGCCTATGTGGCCTGTACATACTGTGTTGGCTCTTTTCACAGTGAACTTGTATAAGCACATACAAAACACCTTTTCCAAAACTGGAGACAAAGAGATGCCCTTGGACTGCCCAGACTCTACTATTGGTTCTGACAGATTACATAGCCTAAAATTGCTTTTAAATTACTCCCTTTCAGATGGTCAGTAGATACTTATTGTTGAACTACTGAGGTTTTGGAGCCCTGCTGAAAATGGGCTCTATCACTGCTTGGAAAAGAACAGAAAATTCTTGAATGGGGTTACTGTAATCTCAGTTATAATTTTAAAAATTTCTTTGTTCAGGAAAACAAATATATGGGTTTTAGGCAAGTGCTGTGCAAGAAATCTAACTCCACTCTCTCCAGCTATAATTTAGACTCAAAATAATAGAAAGCGTGGAAAATGCAAAGTGAAAATTGCAGAGGATTAATTTTCTGGCATTGCTAATTACCATGACAGTTTTTGCCTGGGTTTATCAGCAGCGTGAAAGCCGTAATTGGAGATAGAATTACGCACAAGCTGACAGCTACGACGGGGAGCCACCTCAGCAGGAGAAATTTGGACAAGTCTGTGCTCTGCTCAGTGATGCTTGGAGTAACTGGTATTTCTTGGTCTGGATTTGGAAGACCTGCACTATTGACTCATAGCATAGGGAGCTGTGCATCCCTTGTGTGTGAATGTCAAGAAATCTTTAACCATCTGCCTCAAGGAGCATGTTTCATATACTTTTTTGGGAGAAAGTACGTGTGTGTGGATATGTGCACATGCAAAATTTTTCCTCTGTCAGTAAAGCAGTTCGTGCAGAAAGCCCAGCAATGGAGATTTTTAGAATTCCTGGTAAAAATATCTAATTTCAACTGTTTCTGCAGCTTTTCTGGAAATCGAATCTCTCTGTTCTGGTGGTGTACATCTCATGAGATACCAGAATGAGGTGGGGTCACATTTCCTTTCCTATGATGGAAGAGATTTCATGTGAGGATTGTGAATCATTTTTACATTTAGCTCTGATGATTCAATCAATACTAGGGTTTCACCTTGTCATGGTTTTAAGTGCAGCTGGAGATGAAACACCATGCAGCTGCTTGCTCACCCCCCTCTCTTTTCCTTCCCCATCCCTGTGTAATGAGGAGCAGAATTGAAGGAAAACTTGTATGCTGAGACAAGAATGGTTTTATAATTTAAAATAAAGTAAAATACAGTAACAATAATGGTAAATAATGATAATGATAATAAAAAGGAAAGAAACCCAAACAAGTGATGAACAATGCAATTGCTCACCATCCACTGACCTGTCAGATCCCTCTTCCCGAACCCATATCAGCCCCCCCTTCCAGGTTTATATAGCTGGCATGATGTTCTGTAGTGTGGAATGTCCCTTTGGTCAGTTTGAGTCACCTGTCCCAGCTATGCTCCCTGCCAGTTTGGGTTTTTGTGCATTTCCTCACTGGCAGAGCTCGAGATAAGGAAAAATATCCTTAACTTAGGATAAACACAACTTAGCAAAAAACCAAAACATCAGTGTGTTATCAATATAATTCTCATTCTGAATCCAAAATACAGCACTGTAACAGCTACTGAAGAAGAAATTAACTCTACCCTAACTGGTACCAGGAATAAACAGGAATAAATAATGTACTACTTCTCTTTTTTTGCGAATAATTAGGATTTTGGAGGAAACCATCATATTGAGAGAAAAGGATGGTTTGGGACAGTCAAGGAGGAAGGGGAAGAAAAAACATGGTATTTGATTTAAAACACTGTGGAAATTCAGAATTTAAAATGATTTCTAACTTGGACAAATTATGGGTATGTTATGTCTATTGTGTGAGCCTGTAAGCTTACATGTTTATTACCGATTTAATTTGAAAACTTGTATTTTTAAACTCTTCAAGTAACAAAGGAGCCCATGTAAGCATACTTTTATGAGGGGAACTCCATGTACTGTGATTGGGTTTTGAACTTGGGGCTTTTTTTTACTCTTTTACCTGTTTAGTTGTACAAAAGTAACTAATTGTAACTAACTGAGGACCTGACTTTACTCCGTTTATATGAGACATGTCTTTCTGCTAACAGGAAGCCAAAGTGATTTTCTTACAGCAGTAGAGCCAAAGTGGAATTTCCTGTTTTGTGTGGAGCATTTCAAAGCAGCAGACATTTTAAGATGTCAGTGAGCATTTCCTTGATGCTTGAAGATTTATCCCGTTTTGATTTGCTTCAAGCTGCAACATTATTGCATTTTTAAAAAACTGCCTTCATTTTGAACTGAAACAAAATTTGAGGTGAAAAAAGGAAAATAGAAAAAGCTCAAATCTAAGATCATGCTGAAATTCACATCTCTGCATAGGGTAGTAGGAGCTGAGCTTGCCAAAAGCTAAGAATTTCAGCATTGAAAAAAGATTGTAAGGTGTTGAAAAGAGTACTACGTTCCTTGAAATTTGCTGTGGGAGAAGTTCCAAGACCTGTCTGCTCTGGAAAAATTAATATTTTCCTAATTTATTTCCTCCTGATAAAAATCCAAAGGGAGTGGTTTATAAGATGGCAGGAAGTTAAAGATGAAATATGCATGTAATTCATTGATAGCTCAACAGCCTTGATGTATGATCTGGAAATGGCTGACCTTAGATTACTCAGCCTGTAAAACAGAAAATCTGTTTCTTTGGGAAAGCATTGTAGCTACCAGTGTCTGTACCCCATCTGGTCCACATGAGGTCCATTTTGAAGATGTAGGTGAATGACCTTTCTATAGGGCAAATAGTTTGTGTCATCATACCATAGTTTAGGAACCACTCTCTGTGTCCTAGATGCCTTAGGACCTGCCCAAATTTTTCTGCCTCTTGAAGTTGCTTAGGGCAGTTTTATCTTCTCCCAGCTAAAAATAAAAAGAAGATATAAAAACACATCCCCCACTCCCACATGAAGAAAAACTAGCACTAGTCTAGCAGAGATTAATATAAGTCACCTTATT